ATTCAAATGCCAATTTCTCCTCTATGGATAATGCCATATTTTACCTGGAATAATCCCCTGATCCTAATTAATTCCTCGGGTATACTGTTTAACAACTCTTTGTTTCCGTTTATAATATAAACGGAAATGTTTCCGTTCCAATATAAACTTGTTTCTGTTTCTAGACTTCTTGTTTCCGTTACTGATAGAATCCACTCAGTAAAACATCTAAACTATTGGGAATGACTAAAATGCCTAAATCTGTATTCTCTTGAACGCAGGCGGGAGAGCTACATAATAATTTACACGTGGTAAATAGTAGAGGGGCTGGTCCCAAACCTGCACACAGAAATAACATCATATGAGACCAGAAGGCATAACAGGATGTGCAGAATACCACCGTTGAAGAGCAGAGGTGCAACAGGTACTCTGTCTGAGAGAGAATTCTTACATCAGAGGCCCGACACTGTTCAACACGCTTCCACTACACATAAGGGGCATAACTTGCCGACCCCTCACAGTGTCCAAGAGAGAACTTGATAAGCACCTCCAAAGGATACTTGATTAACCAGGCTGTGATTCATACGTCAGGCTGCGAGTAGCCGCGTCCAACAGCCTGTTGACCACTCCAGCAACGAAGAGGCCTGGTCGAGGACCGGACCGCGGGGACGCTAAACCCCGAAATCATCTCAAGGTAACCTCAAAGTAGACATAACGTGGGCCACCCAATTAATACTATTTAAAACTCCGGCAATCTGAAAGCACAAGTTACAGCCCCGCTCCAGTGCCAGGTAAGTCCACAACGGGCTCACCATAGCCCGTGCTACTTGCAACTTTTTGTTCCCAGTAGCGAATCTTGAACAACAACAAACAACGGAAAGCACACACACACACACACACACACACACACACACACACACACACACACACACACACACACACACACACACACACACATACACACACACACACATACACACACACACACACACACACACACACACACACACACACACACACACACACACACAACCTCCTCGTCCTGTCCTATGTAGCAAGAAACAATATCCTAGACTTTCTTCCCTTTAGTCCTCTTCCTGCCTCATTGCAACAGTCATCTTCCAAGCATCATTTCTCTGGTAGGAGAGCGAGTGTGTTCAGCCTCTCTCCTCCACCAGGAGAGCGCCTTTCTTCCTGGTTCCTCCGCTGTTTCCCTCCACCTCTCCCTAGGCTCTGTTTTTCCTTGTGTGTTGTGTTTTTTATCTGTTACGTATTTGTTCTCAGAACGAGCCACATCATCAAAGTTTATCGAATTCCATATTACGCGATGAGTCCTTTGTAAGTCGCTCTCCTCTTCCCCTCTCTGTTCCCGCCGTCCTTTTCTGCTTCCTCTTATTCTATCCACCTTCTTCCGTTCATCCCCCTAGCTTCATCAACCGTCCTTTCTCATTGTTTCTTCTGTCCGTCAAGCCACTGATCGCCCTTGGGTGACTGTACGAACAGGAAGTCTAATTCCGTCCTGGTGACTGCGAGCAACCAAAGGACTGTCATTTGCGGATACGAAACGACTTTTGACTGGGGATTCGGCTCATAAACTTAATTATGTTTGCGTGTTGCTATGCGTGTGTTTGCGTGTTGTCTCTGGCTTCTAAATGTATCTTCTCGTTCTGCTGTTTCTCATGAGGAATGCTTCATCCTTCGCCGGTTGATTTTCCCTTCTATCTTCTACATCATTATCATGTCTCGCCGGTATATTTTTTCCTCGAGCGCGGTGAGGAACACTTCCCTTTGCCTTTCTTCACAGGTCAGTCCCCTTACCCATCAGAGCGAGTCTTACCCCACAGGTCAGTCCCTTTACCCATCAGAGCGAGTCTTGGCCCACAGGTCAGTCCCCTTACCCATCAGAGCGAGTCTTGACCCACAGGTCAGTCCCTTTACCCATCAGAGCGAGTCTTGGCCCACAGGTCAGTCCCCTTACCCATCAGAGCGAGTCTTGGCCCACAGGTCAGTCCCCTTACCCATCAGAGCGAGTCTTACCTCCAACCCATAGAAGCTTCCTGGTGTTGTGCTATGCTCCCTCAAGTGTGAGATTCCTGGAGGGGCTGCCATGTACTCAAGGATGACTCGACTGTATACAGCGTCCACAAGTCCTCTTTTTTCTGTCTTAAATGACTCTCAAGGCATTTTTCACATTATGATAAGCCACTGGTGTTTATTCTGCTAATATTGTCAGTATACTGGGATTGTCTCCCGGTATGCTGATAACCTTAGCATGGTTGAGGACTGTGATGTGTGTCTGGACTCAAGTAGATGTGAGTACAGGGTCGACCCTCAGCTCCTAAGCCCAGAATTTTACTGGTCTCTCGTTTTTATTGTCATGTATACATTTCATGTGTGTTTACAATCTACAATCTGTGGCTGTAGGCTAGAGCTGTTAGCTCTTGGACCTCGCCTTTCTAACCGTCGGTTGTCTAATGTAATGATTCGTGTATTCACCTAGTTGTGCATGCGGGATGAGCTCTCCCTCTTTCGGTCCGCCTCTCAACTGTCAATCAACGATCAATTATATTTATTTATTTATTTATTTTTACCATACACAGACGCACACACACAGGAAGAAGCCCGTAACAGCTGTCTAACTCCCAGGTACCTATTTACTGCTAGGTGAACAGGGCCATCAGGGTGAAAAAAATGTGCTTATTTGTTTCTAGCTCTGCCGGGGATGAAATTCTGGCACTTAGGACTACTACCCTTGTGTGTGTGTGTGTGTGTGTGTGTGTGTGTGTGTGTGTGTGTGTGTGTGTGTGTGTGTGTGTGTGTGTGTGTGTGTGTGTAAAAATTAAAATAAACCCGGTTTCACCCAGAGGATTCGGTTTTCTTGTGCAAATATCAACCCGTCTCTATATATCGAACAATTTAATAGTCCCAGAACTCACATCTGCAGAAAATTGACTTTGTGCTGGATAATTAATAAAAAAAACAGCACATTTCTCTAATTCAACGTGAAAATAAATTCTTTCCCCTCAAAGAAATTAAATCTGACGTAACTGGTGGAGGATGCTGCCTGTCACTCATCTTCCGGGGAGGCCGCGGCGAGATGACAGTGACAATTGAGGGCCCAAGACACCACTGTCAGAGATACAGAATGGCAAGAGAGGAAGGGGGAAAAAGATGGAGTGGTTTCAAGGGCACTGAGATTGAGGTGGGCGGCCTCCCAGCTCCAGACACTCTACCCGTCTCGGCCGATTCTGGGCGATCTCTTCCGCCAGGATTAGCCTCTCTCTCTCCTCTGGCAACTTACCTCTGGTTGATACCTGGTTGATGGGGTTCTGGGAGTTCTTCTACTCCCCAAGCCCGGCCCGAGGCCAGGCTTGACTTGTGAGAGTTTGGTCCACCAGGCTGTTGCTTGGAGCGGCCCGCAGGCCCACATACCCACCACAGCCCGGTTGGTCCGGCACTCCTTGGAGGAACCTCTAATCCGTCAGGTTTTACTTACCCGCCACGTTTAACACTAACCTATAAAGTTTACTTCTCCCTTCACGTCAGGTTTACCAGTCTTCCGTCAAGTATACCTTCACCAACAAGGTTTAGTTTACCTTACTCTACCAGGATAATTTCCCTCCTCAAGGTTAACCTCTACAGTTGCGAAACTTTTCCTTCTCGGAGTGTTCATTAGTGTCCTTAGGGAGAATTATTCTTATATTCGTAATTTTAATATTAGTTTTTTTATTCGGATTGATTTAAAGGATGAAAATTGTTGTCACACAAACACACATCCCCAGGATGCAACCCGTAGTAGCTGTCTTAACTCCCTGGTACCTGTTTACTGCTAGGTGAACAGCTGCATCAGGGGAAAATATTTCTCCATTTGTTTCTGCCTCGGCCGGGAATCGAACCTGGCTCCTTGGGACAACGACCCTGGAGCTGTTCGCTTCGACACGATGCCATGTTTATCTATCAACAGGTAACAGAACAGCTGTTTATCTATCAACAGGAGACAGAACAGCTGTTTATATATCAACAGGTAACAGAACAGCTGTTTATATATCAACAGGAGACAGAACAGCTGTTTATATATCAACAGATAACAGAACAGCTGTTTATCTATCAACAGGAGACAGAACAGCTGTTTATATATCAACAGGTAACAGAACAGCTGTTTATATATCAACAGGAGACAGAACAGCTGTTTATATATCAACAGGTAACAGAACAGCTGTTTATATATCAACAGGTAACAGAACAGCTGTTTATATATCAACAGGTAACAGAACAGCTGTTTATATATCAACAGGTAACAGAACAGCTGTTTATATATCAACAGGTAACAGAACAGCTGTTTATTTATCAACAGGTAACAGAAAAGCTGTTTATTTATCAACAGGTAACAGAACAGCTGTTTATTCATCAACAGGTAACAGAACAGCTGTTTATTCATCAACAGGTAACAGAACAGCTGTTTATTTATCAACAGGTAACAGAACAGCTGTTTATTTATCAACAGGTAACAGAACAGCTGTTTATTTATCAACAGGTAACAGAACAGCTGTTTATTTATCAACAGGTAACAGAACAGCTGTTTATCTATCAACAGGAGACAGAACAGCTGTTTATATATATCAACAGGTAACAGAACAGCTGTTTATATATATCAACAGGTAACAGAACAGCTGTTTATTCATCAACAGGTAACAGAACAGCTGTTTATTCATCAACAGGTAACAGAACAGCTGTTTATTTATCAACAGGAGACAGAACAGCTGTTTATTTATCAACAGGTAACAGAACAGCTGTTTATTTATCAACAGGTAACAGAACAGCTGTTTATTCATCAACAGGTAACAGAACAGCTGTTTATGTGCCAACAGCTTGACAGGTAACACACATGCACTAAATTACAATCAGGCATTCCACATTCATTCAAACGTTACAATTTTATTCAACATTACGACTTAATTTGGTATAAAAAGGTTGATTGAACATCTTGTATTAGACTACAGCATTATAATTGTCCCCACCAGGATGACCTGGCGCAGTAGAGGGCGTCCGAGGCTCGTACTCCACCTGCTGGCCATCACGCAGTTGGCTACTCGGACCTCAGGTGAGTTATATCATTAATAATGCACAGATACCTGCCACCTGGTACACATTTAACCCGTTCGCCACACTCAAGGCGAACTTTACCCGCACCGAGACCCAACGGAGTCTATCCTAAGCAAATGCAGGCTTGGCTATAAGGAAACGGGCTTTTTTTGAACGGTATTGTGTGTGATTTGATCGTCCGCCAAACACACACCGAAACTACGACGTTGGTACAACGTTCGAACAAGTTTTAACACCTAACCAGTTATAACAACCAATATAGCAAGTTGTAACAACGTTCTAATACGTCATAAACACGTTAAGCCAAGATGTAACAACTTTATTACAAGTTGTAACAAGCGGAAAATAGAGACAGTTTCGGTTTGTGTTTCCAGGGCGCGTTCATGATTTACACCGATTAGATGTATCAGTTTGTATTATGATGATAGATAATAGTTGTATTATGGTCCGCATGGCCCCTTACAAAATGTTTGGTATTCCACCATCGCTGTGTTGCATTCGTGGTGGTTCACGGCGCTTGAAGGGACACTTGAATACATGGCGTTCTCTTGCAAATAACGTCGCTTGTCGCCCGTCTGCGCTACGGCCAAACACAGTCCGTTATTTGTAAGAGGGACTGGTTGAGGATCATCTCAGAGACCATCTGGCTGATGGAGGCAGCTGTCGTCGGCGCTGGTAAACACCAGTACCCAGCTGGTAAACCCCAGTACCCAGCTGGTAAACACCAGTACCCAGCTGGTAAACACCAGTACCCAGCTGGTAAACACCAGTACCCAGCTGGTAAACACCAGTACCCAGCTGGTAAACACCAGTACCCAGCTGGTAAACCCCAGTACCCAGCTGGTAAACACCAGTACCCAGCTGGTAAACACCAGTACCCAGCTGGTAAACACCAGTACCCAGCTGGTAAACCCCAGTACCCAGCTGGTAAACCCCAGTACCCAGCTGGTAAACCCCAGTACCCAGCTGGTAAACACCAGTACCCAGCTGGTAAACCCCAGTACCCAGCTGGTAAACCCCAGTACCCAGCTGGTAAACACCAGTACCCAGCTGGTAAACACCAGTACCCAGCTGGTAAACACCAGTACCCAGCTGGTAAACCCCAGTACCCAGCTGGTAAACACCAGTACCCAGCTGGTAAATGCTGGGGTACTCTAACCCCAGCTTAGAGTACCCAGGTGTACCCCAGCCTAAATCACCAAAGTCTAAATTCTAAATAGTCTAAATCAGGCAGACTAAATCAGTCTTAGGCAGTCTAAATCACCAAAGAAAACCCGAGTCACGGTTCATCGACTTAAGTCTCCACTTACGAAATCTGTGCATCTTTTTTTTTCTATTTAGGGTAGTTTAGTTTGTAGCTATTAAACAGTTTGAGTATTAAAGTCACTAGCGGGTTGTCTATAACAATAATAACCTCGGGTTGTGAGTTTTTGAAGCTCGTAAACCTTTTTGATCAATAGTGACTCAGCCGTCAATATTGGAGGAAAGATGTACTGGTTTCGTAAGCGAACAGTGGAATGAAGCCACCGAGGAGGAGGTGGTCGTTGAGAGGACCCTGGCCCCAGGCTCGGCCCCAGGCTCGGCCCCAGGCTCGGCCCCAGGCTCGGCCCCAGGCTCGGCCCTAGGCTCGGCCCCAGGCTCGGCCCTAGGCTCGGCCCCAGGCTCGGCCCCAGGCTCGGCGCCGCAGCTGTAGTAAGCCTTCACAAGACTGTTGAGAGAAGCCACCAAGCCCAGTGCAGTTGCCAGTAGGAGACCTTGAGCAACCCGACCGCTTGTAAGAAGCTGCAGGAAGAGCAGGAAGCTGCAAGCACAACCCTGCAGCTGGTACGTGGCCCAGAAGACACCTCCATCGTTTGAAAGAAGTCAAGCAAACTTCTGTCAGGAGTGAAAGAAGTCACCCTGCAGCTGGAATGAAGACAAGAGCATATTCTTGAATATGAAAATCACCACTAGAGAATGCTCCATTAATATTCAGATAAAAGTAAGAAAATATATACATATCCGTTATACTATGATATATATAAGATATATATATACATAAGATATTGTTTATGGTGAAGGAACACAGTAGCATCATGAAGGTGTTTGGCGGGAAGAGCCATCTCGTCATGGGAGACATCCTGGACGTCTCTTCCTTAGATGTGTCACATGTCACCTCTCCGCTGCTCTGGTCACGGAGGATCACGGAGGCTGTGAAGCATCACTGGCATCTGAAGTATTAGCACTAACACATTCCCACTACGGGCTCACCATAGCCCGTGCTACTTGGAACTTTTTGTTCCAAGTAGCAAATCTTAAACAACAACAACACATAACACATTCCCTGCCTCTATTCATGGAGAACATTCATGCCTCACTCCCTTTCCCACGAAGGTCTGAATTCCCCCGTTTCTTTCCCGGATTATGGGAGAGTTAAAGCTATCTTTTGGGCATGAGTGGACATGAAAATTTCTTCTTTTGTAGCGGTAAGTCGCCAACTGCCTTACTAGTTACCGTACTTGGCCTCGGGCAGGTCGTATCCAGCCTTCTCTGCCACCTTGGTTAGGCAGACCCTCGCCTGGTTATGTTGGTGGTCAAGTCTCCACTAAATGTCCATGTGTCCCAATATGTATTTCGCAAAACTGTTGACAACAGCACAACGGTTCCTGGTGCCTAGTTACTGGGTGCCCCAGAGTCTTCTGATCTCACACTGAATAACATTAAATCCCGACACCTTTACTTATGCATAGGATTATAGGATCACCAGAGGCTTAGGGCCCGCGCAGGAATATCCCTGCAAAAAGAAAAAAAAATAACTCCCCTTTGCCTTATTTTCCACTGTCGGCAGATTCATGGGCTCCCTATTACAGTCATGGGGGTTATCAAGGCTCCCTATTCCGGTCTTGGGGGTATCTAAGATCCCTATTTCAGTCATGAAGGATCTCGCTGTTCCACTTACAATAATAATGGAAGAAACTGAGGTTGTACCCCTTAATCAAAGTCCAGGGACTCGAGTCTATCTTAGTCATCGACGATGTTGGTGATGTGTGGTGTCGGTAGTGTTGTAACAGGAGGCTTTGAGTGCCTTGTCAAGTCCTGATACAGGCCAACACTCTCTGAGACTCTGAATCCGACTACAGGCCAACACTCTCTGGGACTCTGAACCCGACTACACATCACGAACGCCACAATAAGTCGGCTGTTAAATTGAGACGTAAACAAGAACAGCTGTGTACAGAAGTGTCCCTAAATTTGTGATTTGGTAAATAATTGAATTATGGCAGAATGACCCAACTGGGTATAATTGTGCCCACACTCTTCTCCCCCTACACTGCTCAACCCCCCTTATTATACCCATACGATCCTCATTTACCCCCTGGTAAAGAGGGTAAATGCCTTTCGGTAAAGGTCGGTAAATGCCCGACCAGGCCTTTTCAGGAGGCCTGGTCGACGACCGGGCTGCGGGGACGCTAAGCCCCAGAAGCACCTCAAGGTAAGGTAACCCCCTCCCCCCACACACCCTCCCAGACCCCCCACTAACCCCTCCCACTGCTCCTCAGGTCAATGCAGGGCGACAGAAACCTTCGAGAAGGTGACCCGGGCGACGCTGGACGGGGTTGAAGGGTCGCCCCTCTTCGCCAGCTCTGGCAACACTGTCACAGAGGGCTGCCTCGCCAGGTTGGTCGCCCGTTCTGGTAGTACTTTGAGAGAGAGAACATTGAAGTTACTAATAGTTTGGAACAATATTATGTGATTTTGTTCAAATTATTAACTATTATTGTTCTACCTTATTAATTGTTTGAAATTACTATTAAAGTTCTAAATTATTATTATTGTTCTAAATTAATTATTAGTATTAATTATTAATTATTAGTATTAATTATTAGTATTAATTATTAATTATTAATTATTAGTATTAATTATTAGTATTAATTATTAATTATTAATTATTAGTATTAATTATTAGTATTAATTATTAATTATTAATTATTAGTATTAATTATTAGTATTAATTATTAGTGTAAATTATTAATTATTAGTATAAATTATTAATTATTAGTATAAATTATTAACTTCTGCAGTTAACTATTTAACCATGATTATTGGTGCTACTGCTATCGTCACTGCTATCGTTTACACTATTCAACTACCACCACCTTGCTAAATAATTATTAAAATATTTGCTGTAATTATTACAATAACTAATATATATTTTTTCAATAGTTTTTTTTAACTTACAGTAACAATTAATATTATTATTACAGTGATAATTACTGCAATATTTTAACATTATTATTCAAGGATCTTCGACTAAATCCCTTTCTTCTCATCCTCATCTAACCACCTGAACAAATCCACAAGGGCCGTGATGAGGGTTCGAACCTACGTCCGAAAGGATCCCCAGACCTCGGACGTTGATTCGAAGCCTCATCACGGCCCTTGTGGATTTGTTCATTCGATGCATCACGTTATTGTGATTTATGTGTATGTGTGTAATCATGTATGAACCCCCTAACAGCTGCCGCAGCTTGGAGACGTGTTCAAGCTTCGTAGTGAACTACGAGAGGGAAGCTTGCTTCAGCGTGAAGGCTGACTCCACCGCCCGCCTCTTGCCCGTGGACCAGCGTCTTAACTACTTTCAGAAGCTCTGTATCAGCGGTGAGAGAGAGAGAGACAGAGAGAGAGAGAGACAGAGAGAGAGAGAGACAGAGAGAGAGAGAGAGAGAGAGAGAGAGAGAGAGAGAGAGAGAGAGAGACAGACAGACAGACAGACAGACAGACAGACAGACAGACAGACAGACAGACAGAGAGAGAGAGAGAAAAAAAAATGCATTTTACCTGTTACTGTTGCAGCTTTATCAGGATAACTGTACACAATCACTTCACCAGATTTCTGGATTTTACTCACTTGGATTCATTTATATTATTAATCCTCCTCAGCCCTCCTCTCCCCCCCCCCTCCCTCCTGTGTACCTCATCCTTAATGTGCTCAATTTTCGTCCCTCATATCGGTCTGATCCTATTTAATCTGATCTAATGTTATTTAATTACATCTAATCATTTACACTCATGTAATCCTATTTATTCCTCTTTAATTGTATATAATCTTATTTCACTTTGTCTAATTATTTTGTCTATAATCCTCTTAATAATCGCTAATAATCCTATTCAGTACTATCTAATCCTGTTTAATACAATATAAACCTATTTAATACTATCTAATCCTATTTAATACTATCTAATCTTATTTAATAATATCTTATCCTATTTAATACTATCTAATCCCATTTAATACTATCTAATCCTATTTAATACTATCTAATCCCATTTAATACTATCTAATCCCATTTAATACTATCTAATCCTATTTAATACTATCTAATCCCATTTAATACTATCTAATCCCATTTAATACTATCTAATCCTATTTAATACTATCTAATCCCATTTAATACTATCTAATCCTATTTAATACTATCTAATCCCATTTAATACTATCTAATCCTATTTAATACTATCTAATCCCATTTAATACTATCTAATCCTATTTAATACTATCTAATCCTATTTAATACTATCTAATCCTTTTTAATACTATCTAATCTTATTTAATACTATCTAATCCTATTTAATACCATCTAATCCTTTTTAATACTATCTAATCTTATTTAATACTATCTAATCCTATTTAATATCATCTAATCCTTTTTAATACTATCTAATCTTATTTAATACTATCTAATCCTATTTAATACCATCTAATCCTTTTTAATACTATCTTATCCTATTTAACAAAAACACTTCAGTGGTGGCAGACAGTGTCTCTCACAGCTGTCCTCCCTCAGCGCCGGCGTGTGGGAAGGCGTGGATGCTGGAGCGAGTTGTGGGGTTCGAGGTGGAGGGCTACGACGACCTGGTGCTCACCAACGTCCCCAGCAGGCTCAAGTGTGCCGAGCTGTGCGTGGGTGAGCGCAACCTGCAGTGTCGCAGCGCAGAGTATCACGAGAGGTTGGTTGTGCGCAGCCCTCTGCGTTCTGTAGTGGCTTGTTTTTGTTTGAGATTCAGCTACTAAGAGCAAAAAGTTCCAAGTAGCACGGGCTATGGTGATCCTGTAGTGGATTTACCTGGCACAGGAGCGGGGCTGTAACTTGACTGTTGTGGCTTGAGGCATTGTGTATATATATTTGCTTTATCTAGAAATCCAACATTATGTTTGTAACTGTATTTTGTACGAGTGTATTTTTTTCCTAATTATAATTATCTTATTATCTAATCTTGTGGCTCTTTCTTCGTTTTGTTGATCCTAGAATAGTCAAATACACAATAACAGCCTTAACTTGTTTTTATAATAATTAGATTATCATGATCCTGGAATTGCTGTGTGATTACATTGCCTTGGTCATTAAAATCTTTAGTTCCAGATTCTCTTGGTTTTCCAGTTAATCTTTCTTAAGTAGCAAGAGTTTTAATTTTGAAATGTGTGTTCAGTCACTTCAACTGGAATTGAATGATGTAGGAGATAGGGGATTTACTGAAGAACCCGAGGGAGTTCGGTAATCCCTGGCCCCGACCTCTGACTCGCCTCACTGACTCTACAGAGACGGTGTGTGTCGTCTAAGTCGCCAGGACAGACGGACGCAGCCTCTCAGCTTCCGGCCGGCGTCTCCTGACGTCCATTACATAGAGAATCAGTGTGCAGGAAGTAAGTGATGCTCATCTGTCTGCGCACTCAGGTTATTTTGAACTGTTCTAATTACTCTTCAGCACTGTGAGAGGCTGCCTGATTAAAACAAATCTCGAAATGCATGAGGTACATTGACTCCTTTGTATTAGTAATATATAATGATTGTGTACGTCTGTACAGAGCCAGAAGTAATATCATTCGTAAAACAAATGTTAATTAAGTAACGTAAAGTATTATTTCATTGTATGTATGTTGTATTTTGACATATGCACAGCATATTCTTCAAAATTTCCTGAAACAAATTTAATATGCTTAATTTTTTTAGAGTATGTAAATGGGTGGCAATTAAATAAATATTAATTTAACATAGTTCATACTATTTTTCTTAATTCATTGATTCTTACATTTATACGACAAAGCTTTTTTCTCAATTTTGCTGGATAATCAATTTTCTAAAGAGTTCCTGAAAATTATGGAATATGTTTAATAATCTCTTAAATTATTTAAATGAAGTCAGTGAAAAATATATAAATTGGGCATAATTCTTACTGTTTTCCCCCATTTGTTCATTCATCCAAATATGATACAATGGCGACTTTATACTTCTCTCTGGTCAATAAATGATCAACTCACATGAAGGTATTCAGGAAAGTGAGCGTCTTTCTCCTCTCCATTAATCACTAAAGAAGCGAGAGAAAGCTTTATATTCTCCACAATAAGGCTCTCCCAGTGTCCCTGTATACAGCATGTGTCAGCTGCTGGTCTTGTGTGTGTAGGGCCCGCACGAGTATCCTACTGATTACAATCTTTTCACGACCATGAATCCCAGTTATACCTCAGTCAAAATGGCATTGTTGTGGTGAACTCTCTCCAACAAATTCAGCAGCAGCAGCAATGCACGTGAATAACTATGGAAGTAATGGAATCTGCATTTCCTTGCGGATATACCCGTATACGTATGAATCGTATCGGTCGGTCTTATTAGCAAATTTCTGAGAAATGGACAAGTGCTTTTATGGTTATTGACTCCCGAGGCCCATCGTAGATATGTAGATATGAGGCACCGAGCCTCATAGCTACATATCTCGGTGCTTCATACTTGTAGATTTAAAGCACTGAGCTATTGAAAGAGAGAGGGGCTTTTCATGTTAGGAAATAGGGGCAGCCTGGAAAAGGTCAGACATCTTTTGAGAACTCATTCATGCGTATATATACATATACAAATACAAAGGCATTATTACCAAGATTCCAAACACTACACGGTGTACACCTGGTCTCCTTGCAGTACCTGAGGTCCAGCAGTGCGAGTTTGAGGAATTACCTCAGCAAGACATGGGTCACGGTGACGTCCAGATCTCCGTCAGCACCGTCGCTGAGGTGAGCGCCCCCTGGCAACCCCTGCCTCTCTGACTGTGTTAAGTATCTGTGAGAAATTTATATATATAGGGAGTGTAAGCTTTCCTGAATCTGCTTTGATACGTGCGACCTAGTTCCTCACACATCTGGCTCTCATCACACGCCTGGCCTTTTCTCACACAAGCGGGACCAAAGAGCTGAAGCTCATCCCCCGTAAACACAATTAAGTGAGTACCTGTCCTCCTGTCACACCTGGCCCTTCTCAACACCTGGTTTTCTTCAGAGCTCGCCACAACATCTGATCCTTCTCACACACCTGACCTCAACACCTGGCTCACGTTACAACATACACTCCCACAGGGGGAATGGCACTCACTGTCCCCCTACTTCTATCCTCTCAGTGCCAACACGCGTGTGAGACGGAAGCGACCTTCAACTGCCGGTCGTTCACGTGGTTCGAGCGAGCTGGCGTGTGTCGTCTCTCTGGCGACGACATGGTCTCTGCCGGACCGTCCGCCGTCGTCCCGCTGCCCGGAGCCGTCTTCCACCAGCGAACCTCCTGTCTAGACCGTAAGAACTCTATAGTTCAACCCGTCGTCGACTCAAGTCCATTACATCCAGCGGTCGACCCCTCAGACGCATTCATAAATTTTAACATGCTGTTCATTCAAAACGGGAATTTTCTCAAGTATAAATTAATATTATAATATATTAGCATATTGTGTATATATAGGCATAGGATAGGTTTTGTTAGGTGTTTAGGTTCTGTTGGCGATTATTTGTATTTGTAGTACGTGGGTTAAGCATTTATAGCGTTGTGGTTCGAACAGAATTCGTCAGTGAAGCACTTGTTCCGAAAGTGTTCGAACATAATTAGTTGTGAGTCGTGCGTAAACCGTTTTTCATTTATAAACAGGGGGTTTGGCGGGTGCATGGAATCACTTTTGGGTCTTTGTTGGAGGACGGGCTGCACCACTAGTGAGGTTATCTTGAGGTTATCTTGAGATGATTTCGGGGCTTTAGTGTCCCCGCGGCCCGGTCCTCGACCAGGCCTCCACCCCCAGGAAGCAGCCCGTGACAGCTGACTAACACCCAGGTACCTATTTTACTGCTAGGTAACAGGGGCATTCAGGGTGAAAGAAACTTTGCCCATTTGTTTCTGCCTCGTGCGGGAATCGAACCCGCGCCACAGAATTACGAGTCCTGCGCGCTATCCACCAGGCTACGAGGCCCCATCCAGGGGCCTAGGTCCGAACACTTCCGGAACAAGTGCTTCGCTGAGGACTTTTGTTCGAACCACAACGATGCAAATGTTTCACTCACGTACTACAAATACACCTAATCGGCAACAGAACCTAAACACCTAAGCAACCAAATGCCTAAATATGCACAATATGCTAATCTAACAATATAAATTTATATTCGTTACAATTCCTATTTTGGATGAACAGCATGTTAAAATTGGTGAATGTGTCTTTGGGGTCGACCGCTGGATGGAATGGACTTGGTCTGAGAAACGGGTTGCCTTTAAACCGAGAATATCTTTGGAACCATTCTAACAATACTCTGATATTATTGTCATAATCGAACATTTTAATTTGTTAGTAATATAAGTAATTATTATCATTGTGCTGTCACCATTGCCTATTGGTAATGTGGTGATCTCGTAGTGCGCCTGGAGTGTACTGTAGACGCCATGAAGGTCCTCCTCCACACTGCTGAGCCCTTCAGGGGGCGCCTCTTCTCTATGGACTTCCCGACCTCCTGCCAGTCCAACGACAAGGGCCGCACTGACACTTCTCTCATCATCAAGGTAAGTGCTGGTACTCTTCTCCTCTGTGTCTGCGCACGCCGCGTACGCTGCGCAAACCGTGTGTGTAGTAATTGTGCGTTCTGAGTGTACCAGCTGTGCGCACGCTGCGTAACTTCATGTTGTGATTCATAAGTTCATGTTGTGAATTATAAGTCCATGTTGTGAATCATAAGTCCATGTTGTGAATCATAGGACCATGTTGTGAATCACAGGTCCATGTTGTGAATCATAGGTCCATGTTGTGAATCATAGGTCCATGTTGTGAATCATAGGTCCATGTTGTGAATCATAGGTCCATGTTGTGAATCATAGGTCCATGTTGTGAATCATAAATCTAAGTTGCAGGCGATGAGTCACAATAACGTGGCTGAAGTATGTTGACCAGACCACACACTAGAAGGTGAAGGGACGACGACGTTTCGGTCCGTCCTGGACCATTCTCAAGTCGAATCATCGACTTGAGAATGGTCAAGGGCGGACAGAAACGTCGTCGTCCCTTCACCTTCTAATGTGTAGTCTGATCAACATAAATCTAAGTTATGAATCATAGACGTACGTTGTGAATTATGATCATTGTGATATATATAGAATCTCCAGAGTAATAGAAGGTTAACAGACTATCCCTTAATCTTAAACACAAAGTGAACTGTACTGGTTGTGCATCCTACTCAATGTTGCAGAGTGTCGTTGCTCTGATTTGAAAGTAATCTCCTGCCCTTACAGTTTCTTGATTGTTTCTGCCTTTTCTCTCTCTTTCTACGAATCTCCTCCATTATTTCTCCTTTTCCAGTTTCTCCCTTCTGTTTCTCATTCCAGTCTCACTCTGCAATTTCTTGTTCCAGTCTGTCTCTCCAGTTTCTCGTTCCAGTCTCTCCCGCCAGTGTTTTAATCTCTCCTGAAGAGATTTTGCCTGAGTCACATCTTGGCAACATCTCTTCTCCAAGAAGGAAGGAATTATCAAGGGAAAGCGCCTAGCCATTCCTGGCGCTTTCCCTTGATAAATCCTTTGTGAATTCCTTTGTGAATCATGGAGACTCTTCTCCAAGAGTCTCCGTCCAAATGAAACACTTGTCCTGCGAGAGAACTTGGGCCAACACACGCTGGGGTTATTTCCGCTGGCCACGACCAGGTTGAAACCTTCGTCTGTTCCCTTCACCTTTAACCACTGTCCACTGAGGCAAGGGCGTCCTCTCACACAGTTCAGAGACCCAGAGTGCGGGGTGATGGAGGAGGGGAGCGGCGTGTACAGCAATGTCATCGTGGTGCAGCACCACCCTGTCATACAGAGGAGGGGGGATAAGGCCATCAAACTCCTGTGCCTGTTCGAGACGGGCAATAAGACGGTTACTGACAGCTACAACTTCATCGTTGAGTAAGTAGTGTAAACATTCTTCAAGTCTGCTGTTATTTCTTAATGTTTTATGTTATGGGTCTGTATGGCCGTTGTCCGGTGAGTTCCAGGTCTGGGAGACTGGATTTATCTGATACTTAACGTCCACACAGGAAAGGAGCAGTTTGGAAGTATCTAAACTGCTCCCGACAAGCCTATTAAACCCTCTTGGGGCATCAGAAGCATTAAATCCCTAAATATATGTCTATCACGTAAACTGTAAACCTTTCTATCGTGAGAATAAACATTTAATTTATCTGAACCCCTCGGGAAATGGAGCCCTTACCTGTAAGGTGCTAGGGGGGGGGGGGGGGGGATTAAAGGCACATTCTTATGTTGGCTTCTTTAGAGTGGAGTGTTACGTCTGGGAGAGGGAGCTCACCCTCACTCTCCATCTAAGTAAAACATAGCCCTGAACCTCACTCTAATGCATCGTTAAGACGCGGCCAGCGCTCAGTATCAGCCACCTGCATATGGCATTATCGTACCCGCAGTAGACGTGAGGTTTTAGGTCCACGTCAACAAGGAATTTCTCTTCAACATTACTCATGTAAATATTAGCAAAAAGAGAACCAAGGGGGGAAACTCATAGCAATGCCATGTACTTGTTTGTAAACTTAAGTCTACTTCTTTCTAGACTTAAGGCTGAACAAACATGGCATGTAAAGTGCTATATAGTCGTAATGGCTTGGCACTTTCCCTTGATGTGCCAAGACTCCCGTTCTGCTGAGTCCATTCGTGCCGTGTGCTTGCAGCCATAAGTCTCCAAAGGTGTTTGTCGATTTATTGCTGGGGGCCGCAGGCACCGGACGTGAGATGTCTGTGGACGATTGAGTCGCTGGTCACCAACGTCCCCGTGGATGAGACTGTTGGAAGGGTCGAGAGAGTTTATGGAGATCCCGCTTGTACTCTCCTTGGCGTCCCAGAAGGCACACTCAACAAACTACTCGACGCATGTACCAAAGAGGCACTCTTCCTGAGCTCTGATGGTCGCATGAACCAACAAGTAGATGGTGTTGCTGTGGGTTCTCCCCTTGGTGTCCTATTTGCTAACTTTGACATGGGTACTGTTAAAGTCCTCGTTGACGACTACTGTAGGTGCGTAGATGACATATTCCTGCAGGTGCATGATAATGAGCACTTGCTGCAGCATAAGGATGAACACGAAATAATTCAAGTGACTCTTCCATCTCAAGGACCAAGACAGAACGTGCATGAGATAAGGAAATTGTAGAAGCGATTATTGTCTTAACTCTGTTACACATTCCGTTGCTCCAGCTAAAGTGAAACCAGTTCTGCTCTGCCTTCGAAAATATTGACAGCGTCATTGAAAGAAAATTCTTTGCATCTGGCCATAATAAAAAATGTAAAATGAACGTTGGAGAATTAATTTTTCAGCTTGTTTTTCAAGTTAAGAAAACATTAGAATCCTTGATGCAATCCTCTGTCATATTAAATAACATATATTATGAAGCGGCATATTAATTAATTGTTATATAAAAGCTTATTTTAAATTATGATTTTTAGGGAAATAAAGCAACGTTCTACAACAATTTGTTTATAACAATTAAAATCAATCAAAGACTTCCCCCCATGTCAGTAGCTTCCCGGGAAGCGGAGTGGCGACGGCTATCGTAAACGCGACGGCTCCGACACCCAGGATACGACTCCGTATCGTCGACCGAGATGGCAACGATATCACAGGTGCCAGGCTGGGCGAGGAACTCTATCTCAGACTGGAGCTTGACAGCGACAGTAAGTGTAGCTGTGGCAACAGTGGCAACTAATGATGGGTTAATGAATGGGTTTGATTAGTATCGACGATAACTGAAGTAATTTTGGGACCTTCTGAGTGACTTTGGGTACTATTATTGATGTATCACTAGTACTAGTACGATCTACTACTAGTAACATTAAAAAATGTTACTAGTAGTAGCTAATGCATGCCTCACATCCTATGAATAGACAATACCTGTACCACGTGGCTTGCAATAGATGAAATCCATCATTGCATGTGTTTATAACATCCTGGTTCATTACAGGTGTATATGGCATCCTGGCCCGCAACCTGGTGGCTAAGAGCAGCGACAACAGCGACTCCATCGTCCTGCTCGACGAACGGGGGTGTCCTGTGGACCCGGTAATATTTCCCTCTCTCCAACTTGTGCCTGGATCCAGGAGTCTCCAGGGCAAGTTCGAGGCCTTCAAGTTCTCAGAGGACCAGGTCGTGCGCTTCCAGGTCAACGTCCAGTTCTGTCTGGAAGAATGTCGTCCGGTGAGTTCCAGGTCTATGAGGCTTGATTAATGTCGTCCGGTGGGTTCCAGGTCTGTGAGTGTTGATTTATGTCGTCTGGTGAGTTCCAGGTCTGTGAGTGTTGATTAATGTCGTCTGGTGAGTTCCAGGTCTGTGAGTGTTGATTAATGTCATCTGGTGAGTTGCTGGGTTGTATGTCTGAATGAATATGTGTAGATTATTATTAATAATTCCTTCATAACACATCATGCCAATGAAAAAGGAGCCTCTATTGTAAGTAATTCTAAGTGATTCCTAAATAACATTTCATAAATACCGAGAACTAGTTTGTAATTATCATCACTGTTGTTTCATCTATTGAATGAGAAAATGTCACCGATCATAATCTTAATTTCACTCCTGCTATACTAGGCCCAGTGTGGTCCAATCGTTTCTTACGGCCGCAAGCGTCGAGGACTGACGAAAGAGGTCGGCCTGTTGACTCTGGGCGGGAAGTTGAGCCTTCATGGGGGCGAGGTCACCCTTGAGACTGACGCTGAAGAAGTGGATCCTGACACCATCTACCACGAGATGCCACTACAGAAGGAAATTATCGTCAACAGCAACACCGTCAAACCGCTCCGGACAGGCCTCCTGCCGGAGGAGACAGGTAGGTCGCTTCGCAGTCTTCTGAAAGCCGCAGGCAACGAGGTCACGACAAATATTAATTTCTTTGTATGTAGATACAATAAATATGAAGGGGAAAGGGCTAGGCCAGTCTGATTATACAGCACTTGCATGCAAGGGGATATGAGGACAAGGAGGCGAGATATGAGGACGGTGTCCAACCACTTGAATCATTGGGAATGGAACGCGAACCTTGCTAAAAGCGAGGCCTACACTCTACCGGCCAGTCCAAGTGGATGGGCAATCAGCATAGTCCAGTATTAGATCCCATTCTGCAACTGTAGCTTTACTACCACCTCTTACAGAACGTACATGGAGTTGATAATATTTTCAACGGATGGTGGAATCTTTGAAAAATACAATTATGTATTACATGAAAGGATGTGTTACAGGAGGGAATACATTAGAGAATGTGTGTTCTTTATTCCAGACGCTCGTCGCCTGGCGCAGCTGGTGTGCACGTCGAGGGAGGTGCTGATTGCCATCATCGTCTCTGCCGTCATCCTTCAGGTGCTCAATATATCTATATTAACTGCTTTTGAAGAATTTATCAAGCTTTACGATTAATATTTTGCAATGTGTTAAATATCCTGACACACACACACCTTTTAACCTATACTTACCACCCATCCTTCATGAATTAATAACTGTCCTTGGCACTTGAGTTTCCGATATCAATACCAGCCGGGCAGCGTATGTGACCCTTGGGTGTTGTCCTCCACCCCCAGGTGTGTATTGTGCTGGTCGCTATCATGTGTGTGTGCGCGCGAAGGCGGAAGACCCCGGCGAAGGAACACCGCGTCGTCTCCACCTTCAGCAGGGGTGTCCGCTCCCCTTACCCCCTCACAACCTCCGAGAATTCCGCTAATACCCTCAAGAGCCTCAGGACCTCTTTGAGGGATTAGACTTCCCACAGGAGTGTAAGACCTCTTTGCGGGACTGGACTCCCCCAAGGAGTCATTTACTTTAATGGTCCCGAATTTGTAAAATTATGTAAATGATTATAGCAATAAGTTTTGTAAGGGCAATAATTCCAGGATTTTTGATAGCACAATAATACATTGCAAGTGTCAGCAAATATTCAAGATATTTTTGGACATTGTTATTTGTCCAAATAAAATATTTTGTCCAAACAAAATATGAAATGGACATTAAATATTTGTTTGAAGTTTCGTAAATTGCTTTTGGCTATGTAGCTTATGAACTTTATACGATAAATATGTATATTTGTAAACATCTTAGGTCCTGGAAAGTTTTTATACTTTGTATATGCTTATTTTCAACGCCATTGAATATATTATTTATAGAGTACATAGTTACAAAATTTCAGTATGTTTGGGTAATTATTCAGTGAGTGTATATGTGATATTTATACACAACTTATTCACTAAGGTTAGGATTATACTATTTATACATGGTGCGATTTGAATGATTATGGGTGCCACCTTCTGTATTATTTTCATAAGGAATGTCAGCCTGAGAATGAGGGTAACTTGCTGTATAAGTTATGCTGTCATACAGTCAGCATAGGCATGACTTTTGGCAACATATGCAAATGAGTTTTAAGTGAGTAGCCATGCTAAGGTTGAATACAGTGCTGTACCAAGGAGTCTGTTGCTCACTCAGTGAGTAGATATGTTATGGTGCAGTGCTGTACCAAGAAGTTTCTTGCTCAGTCAGTGAGTAGATATGTTAAGGTACAGTGCTGTACCAAGGAGTATGTCTTGGTGCCATATGTCTCGGTGTCTCCGCCTCAGCAGCTTTCCTAAATAGCTTAGACTGACTGAGGTAGAAGTTGTAAAGTTCCTTTTGTGTTGGAGTATGTACGTGTTGAGATATAGAGACGTGTTGTTCACGTGGTGAGATATAGAACGTGGTGTACCTGTGGTGAGATATAGGCACGTGTTGTTCACGTGGTGAGGTATAGAACGTGATGTACGTGTTGAGATATAGACGGCTACCATAGATAAAGTGACACATCCCATACATGTAGTGAGGAAGACAAATAACAATACACTGTATAAATGTAACATACACATGGTAAGATACATCATACATGCCAGTATCGTCTGTGCCACTCACCGACACACACATAGGGAGGGGGAACGATAGACATCATACAGAAGAGGGGTTCGTCAATGGATTTAAAAACCCTAACTAACTTTATCCAGGAACCTAACCGAACCCAACACAATGTAGCCAAACTTAATTTTACCCAGACTAGCCTACCCTAATCCAGACTAGCCTATCGTAACCTAACTGAAACTATCCTAGTTAGTTAGATCCTAACATTACAATAACAAAGATAAGCTTTGTCAAAGCATTTTGTGTATGATTTGGCCATACAGGAAATTGACATAGATAAATAAAAGGCATTCGTTGTTAGTGCTACGTCAAAGTAATTAGCTAAGGGATAACGGGGCATTATTATGTAGGTAATAAGAGTAACTTCAGGAAGAAATGGAATGTAGAATGTATTACAAGGTGTAAATTTATGAAAGGAAATTAAGAAATGTTGTAATCGCATAGGTTTGCGACGTTTACTAATTAGACAGGATTTCAAGTCCAAATTTAGGGTGATATTGTGAGTTTCAGTTTCGAAATGAATTTGGATGGAGTTGAGTTTCAGTTCAGTTCATAATTGTAAACTCAGGAGTTCAGAATCAAGACGAATTAGTCTCACCAGATGACGAGGCCTACGTCAGGTATTTAAAAATAATAATGGAGACGATACCAAGATCCATAGACGCACTCATTTTAATGTAGGTATGGTATGGAAGTGATAATCTCAAAAGTCGTAGGCACATCACACATTTACTGGATGTATATGTTAAGCGTTATGGTGATGAGAGCAAGAACGACAAGTGTCAGGTTGATGTGCTTGCTCACAAGTGAGGATGATGCTATCCTTGTTTAGGAAGAGTTAGGATGTGTTCTTTGGCCATAAGAATGAGGTTGATGTTGTCCTTGGCCACAAGAGTCGGGCATATTAAAATCACATGGTGCTTATGTGTCTTATCTGAATATAATCCTGGAGAACCGACTCCAGCGCCCCCTTATGGGACCGGACAATGTGGCTAAATAAAAGCTCATGGTGCACTAGTAAAGGAGCTTCTAGTATTGATGATAGACATGAAGGAGTACTCTATGCAACAGTGGCATATCTTGCAACACTGGCAGTGGTATTTGTGACGAAAAATTGATGAAAGCCTGACTTTATACGTATCTTAAAGGTTCTATGACCCAGGCAGGGTTCGAAGGTGTTTTACGAGGGGTCGTCACCGCAGCCTACACAGTACCATAACCGCTTGACGACTGTGTATGCCATGGGGGGTTATCCGTTGTTTGTAGTTGTTATAGATTCAGCTAATCTGAACAAGTTGCAAGTAGCACGGGGTATTGTGAGCCCGTAACTTACCTGGCACAGGAGCGGGGTGAAATCCGTGGTAAGGCGTGTTCGAATCCTGGTTGGGTTATAGAGTTTTTAAAGGATTTGTGGCTTAGAGACTATTTAAGTTTTCATAGTTATGCACTCCTAAGCAATCGCTGCCATACATAGCACGTATGCTCTGAATGTTGTGTTATTTATAATTTTCCAACTCATTTACAGGGCCAAATGAGCAATGTAAACGTTTTTATATTGTAAAAATAATTGTACAGCACTAAATATAAATAAAACCCTTTTTGTTGTAAAATATTTTATGTGTATAATTTGTAACATTATTATGTAAGATGGATTGACTAGATAAATGGATAGGGCGTCCCCGGCTCCGACTTGAGAGGCAGGAGGGAGTCAGCGGAAAAGCCCTAGCATGGGTAAATCTGCAATACACCTCACATCATGGTACATATGTAAGTATACTAATACCTTTGATAGGATGGTTATGGGGGTGGTAACCCCCACGGGATGGGACTAGGGAGCATTTCACCCACAGGATTTTTTTTTTTTTATTTTGATAAAAGAAATATACAAAGTATAGCACAATATATACATGACATGAACCTAAGAACAGAACATAACAACAAAAACATAATCATAAACAGGCATAGAAGAGAACATTGCATAATAAGACCCCAGAAACTCCAGGGACACAAGTCCGAATACAAATAAACATAGAAACGGACACACAACAAACGGACGCATACGGACATGCAAAGACACAACTAACATATAAAGAATAAACCAGACACACATATAAATACACAATGCACACAAGTACAGAAATAACACAAAGCATAAGCACATCGCACACAAATCATATAAGTAACATAAAAACAAACCATGGCCAAGGCCCCGGCACTACTATATGACAACCCCAAGAAAGAATCCGGGGCGAACAATGAAACACAGAGATACATGTACCCTAAACAAACACACACCCACAGGATTGGTATTAGGTTGAATAGTAGTACTAGCACATGTACTCTGTACCACCATGTGTACCCTGTATCACCACATGTAGTCTGGACTCCACCCTCAAACAGGCGATGTGTAATATACGTGAACAAATAACAGTTAATAATTACGAAACCCATCAGTTTATTATTCAGTTGGTGCATCGTGGGAATGGTGTGTAATCCGAGCTTGTGGGACTGAGTAGGGAGTGCTCCAAATGTCGGTAAACCATTTGGTACTTCAATCATCATTAAATCAGTAAATGATTACTATTTGAATGGCGATTCTATTGCTAATGTTACATATATTGTTATGTTGCAACAGTTACAATGGAAAGTTTTATTTTGTTTGTGAATTAGAAAATGAAAATAAAAAGTTGAAACATTGAAGGTTGAGATCATTATTTGTTTATTAGACTCGTTGTTATTTTGGGAAGTGAAGGAGTGGCTGTTTACCATTGATAATTGACACTTGGGAGTCGCAAAATGTGAACCAATGAGGTGAGGGTTTTAAGGTGAATGTCAACCAATCAGGTCCGGCGGGGTTTGGTTGGCTGCTGATTATAAAAGGGAGGATGAGACTAAAAGCACTCCAGTGTGTTTTTACCTTACTTTTGGTATACAATGGGAGGTTCGTCTGTTGAAGGTGAGTTGTATGTGGCGTCCCCGCTCCGTTTACTAGTTGCATTACAGGGAACCAGGAGTCAGTAAGTATATTTTGGGTGGGGATAGAGATGTGCATTTGAGAATTGGCTTGAGGGCATGGAAGGTTTGGTTAAGTGGGGATAATGGTGCGTGTGGTACTATAGCTGACACAAAGTTAGTTTTAATGGTAATGTAGGCGACTTGTATCGTGATAGGATAGCTCATAACGTCTTTCGTTCAATCTTTAAATATTTAGTTAAATATAATGGTAAATAAGTGTACAATGGGGTTAATATTTAAAACTGTTATATTGAACATGTTTTAGTAACGTGATTACTTGAATTTAGGAGGCTATGTAAATGCAAATAGAAAATTTTTCGAGAAACCAGGCTGTTAATCGTTTGCATTTACATCCATAGTGTTGGAGAATGTGAACATGTAGAACGCATAATAGAAATGTGTAGAATAAACCGCACATAGATAGGGAAATGCTGTCTCAATCTGGTAAGATTTGCCTCCTTTTCATCCATGAGATGACGTAAGATTGATGGATGTTAATGTGGCTTGAGAGGCAGTTACACATTCTCTCAACCATGACGAGATAAGTTTGTGTATGAATAAGTCAGCGTGTTTTCTTCGTGTAGGTAAGTGCTATACATTCTGCTGTGGTAGTGTCAAATAGAGAATCAGGTGGGAGTGTTGTATTATGTAGAAATTAGTGGATTGGACCGGCACTCACTCGTGTTACGTACACACACCAAGATGTAAAGATTGAATCGAAATATGGTGTAGGTAATATTTGTATTTGAATGTTAAGTAATTTGCAGATGAACATTAAAAGTAAAATACCTAAAGTATTGTTAATGGACATCAGCATGTTCCTATTGAGGTAGTTGACCCCCATAAGCATCATAAGGTTGTTGTTGGACGTGATATACAACGTGTAACACGTTGTGTATACTATCCATGGTAAATTGTCAAGAATTGCGTAATGAAGCAACATTGTTTGTCACGTTAATATTGCACTTTAATTTTATCTTCATCAGATCCTGGGCCAGCCACAAGAAGGCAACGTGGACAATGTGTAATGAAGATGGTGTTGACGTCCAGTGCATAACCTGCATTATTTTCAGATATAAGAGCTGGCGGGGATTTTTGACTGGAAATAGTATTGACAATAAAGTTGACTACACCATTGGCCTTTTACCTGACTACCTTGTTATTTAATGACATCATTGTAAGGGTGTAAACAGTTATGACACCATGTTTGTTTTCCTTTCCTTCCTTATAAGTTAAGTTTCATGTGATAAAATACAGGCCGTTGTTACTATGCCCCTTAAACGGGACATCTCGCCACCTAGTATCATAAACGTTGAGCAGTATATGAAAATGCTGAAGTTTCTTACTCAAGTGAGAGATAGACTGGTAGGTTACGTCTGACGTAGTTAAAACGGGCATATTTATACTTGTATTAAAAAAGTTATAAATGTACTGGAACTAGCATTGCAGCTTGATATGATAATAGAACCATTAATCTTAGTGTTGTAACATTAGAGTTGGGGTGATTGCTAGTATCATCAGTAAATTTGCCTGTTCCATAGAGATATTGAATGTACTACCTGGCGTTTCACATTTGAGGCGGTAGTACAGTTTGTGAATGGCACGGTGGTCATACTTTATAACGCAATAATGCTTATCTTGAGTTGTTATGGAAATGGTGTAGTTTATTGTACCTTGTAGGGATATTAGCTATTAATTATACACAGTATGACTCATTAGTCGGGGGAGTGTAGGTTCCTCAAGAGTTTCAGGCATGTCTTAATGATTTATTACAGATGTTAAACCCCATTTGCCCTTGTTTTCAAAGCGTACAAGAAGGGGTGCATGTGATTTTTTCCTGATATTAGAATTTCCACAACTATTGATAAAGAAATGTACCTGTTTATTCAATATAAATTATGTTTACTTTAATTAGTACAAGTAATTATCAAAAGAAGCCTGTTGGTGCCATATCAGAGGGAGCTAAATACCAATAATGAAAAGAAACGCATGTGAATCATATTGGTCCCTTATAAGTGTCTACCTCAACTGAAGAAAACGTACATGTAATAGTAATCAGTCTTCGTAACGGTATGAAATGAGTAATCCGACCAGGGTCCTTGTGTATCTAGACTTCCGTCGGTCTGACGTAAGATTGAGCTGACGCTACGTTTCTCAACCATACTAGAGTAGCAGTCAGAAAAGCATTCCATCTTAAGATGGAAAGTCCGCTGACTGCCGTAAATACTGAAGGTGTCAACTTCTGCATGTTCGCCCCCGTTAAGGGCGGAGTAGAACGAGTACGGCCGAGTTACGCACTCCAGACACCTTTCCTACACACATGGATGGAGCTTGAAGGCCTCAAGGTGTGGTTGCCTGCATCACCATAGGAGTAAGCTGCCTAAACTTTGCCAAGTTGTGGGGTACCATTGAGCTCAAACTGTACAGAAATAATTACGCGCGTTGCTTCTCACTTGTCAACGGATACAAGGTGGTTTTTCAAATTCAGCATAAACCCGTTTCACTATTAATCATCAACCTTTGACTGCAGAAATTCCCATTTATGCAACATTCAAGAATGTTAATCCCCAATATAATGGTGACAATGCAAACGCACCATGCCGACTGTTGCTCTTTAGGTTACTGCCAGTTCAGGAATACTAAATGCCTGGGTGTATGAAAACACGCTGAGTAGGTATATATTTATTTAGTAGTCAGGTACATCAAGGCACTTGGACAGCTTCGAAATCCAAGGGCCACGATTCTGATGTCTTGGGTAGGTGGCACAAATGTTACAATGTTGTAACTAGCGTCTGTACTGAACCACTGGAAGAAGTCCACCCATTATATCACACCTCTGCTTCCTATTGGAGGAAATGACAAGTGTGGGAAAAACCTGCTGGAATTGATATAAGAGGAGACTACTAGAGACTTGGACTGAACTAAATTAAAAAATTACTGTCTGCAAATTAATTCCAAGAATCTCTAGCTAGGGTCATAAATCCTAGCTCCTCTTTTCCTAATGTTAGATTGTGGGCTGTAAGGGACAGGTGGGATTAATGGATTAGTTGATAGAAGTTCCAGTCCACCTGTAGACAGGGATCTCACATCAGCTTGTATATTATACAAGGATAAGATTTGATAAATTCAGTTATATGACTGAACACTGGCTCTGTTTAAATCAGGGATTTAAACATACATAGTCTAACCTAGCACCTTAATAGTTAACAGCAAATATGTACTTATACTATAAACAACAAATTAAATTGTAAAAGTATAATAAATGACCTTAAATGTAGTCTAAATACTGTTAACTAAGTACTAGAAATCATTCAATTAAATGAACTTGTATGATAACTTATAAATTAACTAAGCAAGTAATTATTAACTTTATTTATATATGCAGACATATTTATATTCAATTTATATGATTATGTAGTCAGCTTGACTGAATCCTTTTCCACACAATGGACACTCATGAGGTTTAGTGCCTGGACAAGGACCTGCTGCTCATCTACCATATTAATAAACTTACTGAAATGTGAGGCTTAGCCTCGCTTTTTAACCAACAGACAGATTTATAGAATATTAAAGTCACACAAGCATACAATTGGCCAATCATATACCAAATAACCTTCAATATACTTCTCTGCCAGTCAGGGTGCCAGACTGATTAACTCTCTCTTGTTGAGTGTAGGCACAATATTGTCACAGCATTGCTGTATGATGTACTGGTAGCGTTGCTACGTGATTGACCCTGCAGTTGCAGAAGAATGATAGTTGCTGAAGATTAGGAATGAAGGTGGTGGAAACCGTGTCACTATGAGCTCCACTATACACCCTTATATAAAATAGATGTTCTAGGATTTTCCTTGTAGATATTGTCCAGTTACTCCCCCAATTCTAGAGAGTGTTCACTGGTGATAAAGATATTAGATAAGGTGTCCTTGAGCTGGTAATGTTCGCTAAGGATCCGTCACACGTGTTCACAGTTGTCAACAAACGTGCGGTCCTCCTCCGCTCTCGTGGACGCTTCTCCCCCAGATCCCTTCCCATGCTCCCCGAGCACGGAAGTCTTCTATGAATATTGATTGATCATTTTTACAGTCTAAACTTATGATTGAGATAAGCTGTAATTACAATATAATTTGATATAGGATATAAAGATTATAAGTAGTACTTGATAGTACCACTGATTCTTATCAAGGATTCGATTTTTATCCCTACCTGATATTGAATCAATGTTCCAATAATTTTTTAATTATAAAATCCTTCTAGAAGTTTCTGGATCCATAAGAGATCATGCACAAAGTCACGTAGGCATCTATAGGGCCCTATGCGTACGGGATCCAAGTGGCATTATCTTCTAGGATCAAACTGTATAATGAATCTATAATGATTCTGATATGATTTAAGATATGATTTTGATGATACAGAAATTATACATTTCTTAGATGATAATTAGATATGGTGGGTAAAAATTTCCCACAACAAGGTTAAAAACGTACCAGTAATTACTACATATTTTAATAGCTACAGTAAACTAAATATGCACGTTAAATTGTATAGGCCTGATTCATTATTAGTCTTAAACTATTCAAAGAAAAACGTTAACAGCTTCCCTAACAGCGTTAAACTTCCCTTACTACCTGCATTTGCAAAACATTTCAGAGAATGTTCCTAAACACTCTCTCCGTAAAATAAGAACCATGCTATCCCCCCAGATATATGCCTTCATGCATGAAACTCTGCATCATTGCATCACCATCTTTCTTACTCTGCACACTCAAAAGTCATATACCACCTTCCTAGATCTCAAGTCTGCCTTTGATATTGCAAACCAACATGTTATCTTGAGTGACCTTGCCAGATGGAATATTGGGGGTCGGCTTCTTTGTTGGATCAAGGGTTACTTATCAAACAGGAACTCATCTGTGTTTTTCCACGGCCATACGAGTCTAACAAACTACGTACTTCGAACTAGTTACCCAACAGACAGGTGTCCTCAGTCCTACATTATTTAAGATCTTATTAAACACGCTGTTAAACTCGGTACCGAACAAACCCAACGTCCACATCATTACCTATGCTGATGATATAATGATGTACGCCACTCGGTATGCTAACACACAGAACACTCTTAACTCTGTATTACACTCATGTCAAAACCTATGTTTAGTCATCTCACACGAAAAAAACTAAGATACTAAATCGGCGCCCACCCAGGCAGGGAGGAGCTGTTCGCAAGATGCAACTGTATGATGACTCCCAGCTTCACTATGTAAACACATTCAAATACCTTTCCCAAACATGTTTCAAACATATCTATATTTTTTTTCAATTCATCTGCTACCAGAAATCTTACCCAAATATCCCAAGCTTGCTACCTGTAGGTAGTAACTAAGTGATTCTAACCTATCCACCTCTGTCCCCTAGAGGGAGGTGGGGGGGCCGCTGTGCAGAACAAACATATCAATTGTCACACTACCTCTCCACATATGTCATTTGCTTAATTTACAAACTGTACCTGTGGTCGATCTCGAACCACTGATGATATGACGATGTCTATTGAATTTTGTAACTAGCTCATCAAGATTGTAACTTGCTTACCTAAATGATTTGTGTGGTTCAGTCCCTGAGCCCATTATGTGCCTCTGTAACCCTTTCCATTATCTCCCACAAGATGGGTATAGATTCCATAATAAAGGAACTAAAATCAAAAACTGTCTAATAAATGGACCGCTTTCCTAATTATTATTCTATATTTTTCACATATATTACCAAATATCCATCGGCTCTTTGAGGGACGGGTGCAGAGTACATGTCTATATATGTGAGGTACGTAATATATGCCCTTATACAGGGTACATATAATTTATTGGGTCTGGAGACATGAAGCCAGAGTATATTCATACACGTTAGCCTTATATCGAGGTCCCCCCCCCCTCAATTCAACTTCTTTCTTTATTATGCACCACATACCCACCCCGCCCACGATGTAACCCCACAACAACCTGACTAACTCCTCAGTACATCCTCACTCTTAGGTGAACAGAGGCATTAGATGAAACAAAATGTCCCCAACCATTTCTGTCCCGCCAGGGATTCGAACACCGATTTCTCGATTGTGCGTTGAGAACGAACCCGTCTGTACCGGACTCGAAGATACGTGGGGATATGGAAGAACAGGGTGTTCATGGTGGTACAGAGTGCATGTACTGATGGTATTGGACCCAATACCACATTCTATTGGTGTTGTGGTCCCTATTGCTATCCCGTGAGGGGTTTTGTGCATCTCATACCCGTCCGGTGAACGGTATTGGTCCCTCATACCAATCCCGTGGATGGTAGTGTGGTGCTCCCTATTTTATGAGTTTTCTATAATACATATTGTACGATCCATTTTCTTTATTTTTTTTAGAGGATAGTCTATTGTATATATATTCATTTGGTGCCATTTTTAATATTTACAGATAATAATTCATGGAATAATTATTATAATTTACTGAGAACTACTAATATTTCTCACAACTAAACTAGAGCTTTCAATAGTATGTAGCTCATCCGTGATATTCGAATATGATGGAAAAATATTACGCAAATTTCTCCTTCAGAAACTTGTGTAAGGAATCATTCAGAACCTTCTATGCCTCATATGTCAGACAAATACTGGAATGTGCAGCTCCAACGTAGAGTCCACATCCAATCCATAAAAAGAAGTTGTAAAAGGTTCAGAGGTATGCCACCAGGCTACTCCACGAGCCGAGAGGTATGGGCTACGAGGAAACATTACTGGAACTGAACCTCACGACAGTGGAAGAGTGACTCTACGAGATAATAAACACTCTTGGTCATATACGAGGATAATAATAACCAAATAATACGATTCACGTAGTTTAATATTCAAGATCATAAACAAAAAACATATTTGTGTGGAATGACAGACTTTCACGAGGTTCCAGTAGACAGTCTCACACACACACACACACACACACCCTATTTACACCTCCGAGCCACACCTATACCTCGTGGCACTAAATCAATACATCAACACTGAAACAAAACGCAACACAAGTGATCGAGAGAGCACAAATTCATCGCAACATTAACAACAGATCATTGTGTCCGCTTTCATTTATGATTGTGGACATTTTTTTTTTTATTTCAGTGTTACATGACGCCCGAAGTTGTACAAGCCAAAACCCGGTGAACCCGAGGAGGTCACATCACAGTATCTGCCTCCTGGGCTCACGTCACAGTAACTGTGTCGTGGGCTCACGTCACATTATCTGTCTACTGTGCTCACTTCAGAGTATCTGTGTCATGGCTCACGTCACAGTAGCTGTCTCCTGTGCTCACGTCACAGTATCTGTGTCATGGCTCACGTCACAGTAGCTGTCTCCTGTGCTCACGTCACAGTATCTGTGTCGTGGGCTCACGTTACAGTAGCTATCTCCTGGGCTCACGTCACAGTATCTGTGATCTAAGCTCACTTACCACAATACATGTGTCACAAGCTCACTAATTAGCTAATATTCCATGAGTGCAAGCCGCAGTACCCGCAACACATGTGCAGGCCACAACATATATGACCGCCGAGCCCACGAAACAATACGTGACACTATGTGTCCAAGAAACAATACCTGATACATTGAATCCAGTACATGTATCACCACGTGTCCTCGCCACATTATATGTCAGGGGGGGCCAGATTCACGAAGCAGTTACGCAAGCACTTACGATCGTGTACATCTTTCCTCAATCTTTGCCGGGTTTGTTTACAATTATTAAACACTTAATGAGCTCCGAAGCACCAGGAGGCTGTTTATAACAATGGCATTGATTGGCAAGTTTTCATCCTTGTAAACCGTTTAATAAATGTAACCAAAGCCGTCTAAAATTGAGCAAAGTTGTACACGTTCGTAAGCACTTCCGTAACTGCTTCGTGAATCTGGCCCCAGGTCACTACGACACAACAGCTGCACTACAAGCCTACAACAATGTATCATGTATTCGACTCGTATCCCCCTTGTTTACCCTCACACAAAGCTTAAGCAAGCTGAACATGCTGCAGTGTGTGAAACAATGATGACAAACACCATCACTGAATTTTGTAAGTCACCATTCCTCAAGGGGAATAAACTTTCTTTAAGATTGTAATGTGATTGTATGTAAAACTGAATTTTAAGGCGTCCGTGTTAAAATTATATTGTTTATTCTCTTCTGAAATATTCGCAAAATGGTATCATTACTTCCTTTTTGTGTGTAAATAAGTCTTACACAAATTAAAGCCTGCTTGATTTGGAGTGACTCTGGTAAATGGAAAGCCTAAAAGATATTTTGATTCATGTGAGAAAACCGATTCATAATGACACGTTCGTGTCATCATGATGAAGATTATCCAACACTTAAAGCATTAAAACGGCTTGAAATATTTCTAACAAACTCATCACCAAGGGCTTGGATATCTATGGATAATGATAAAAGCAAGCATATCCCTGAAAGCACATCATTCATCAAAACATCAAATATCAAGGACATTGCCATTTCGTACAATGGTAAACAAAACAGAGTCGAACTTCATGACATTTAAGAGATGCATAAATGTGACCATCAACAATACACTAAACAGTTCTAATATGTTTCATTCAAACCTAAAAAAAGCTGCAGTAAAATGAATATATATTGAAAAAACATTCAATATTCAGACAGGAATTTCTCGGTACCTGCACTGTACCTGGATGGGCTTCTGGAAGTTCGTCTACTCCCCAAGCCCGGCGCAGGCTTGACTTGTGAGAGCTTGACCCAACAGCCTGTTGCTTGCAGCGGCCCGCTGGCCCACATATCTACCACAGCCTGGTTGGTCCGGCACTTCTTGAAGAAAAACTATCTACTCTTCTCTTGAAGATGTCCACGGTTGTTCCGATATCAGTATTTTCACCATCTAATAACTCTTTATTCCTTTTGTAAACTGTGTTATCCAATATACAGGATGAACAGTAGAAAACAAAAGGATTCTAATGAAGTCTATTCAACACCCTGTAGAACCTCAACATTATAAACCTGAGGTAATGTCAAACAATTTCATCACTGCTCATCAAATAATACTCATTACCACGAAGAGTGCCAATTTCTGCATTATGTATATCACTAATGTTAATATCAATTACAGATTCTCACTTTACATTATTTATTCATTAATTTGTGTTATGAGTTATAATACTTCTGATTTGGTTATCGGTGCCTCTCAAGGAAACCGACCAGCACCAACAGTTTTCTTGTTCATAAATAAAAAACAGTACATGAACTTCGGATAAAAGCGAATGAACTTCGGATAACAGCGTATGAAATTCGGATGCGTAGTGCTTAAGCTTCGGGTGAAAACCTTAAGTATCCAGTCGGTGACCATAAATCAGAAGGGACAAGTCTCGTCATCAAACTTCATTCCTCCATACTGGTGCTCGAGATATCACAGATACATTTATTCTTAGAAAGACAACACTGCTGGTGACAGTATAACACACTGCTGTTCTTCTTTTCTCTTGAATTGCATTTTGCAACAGCACTATTGCCTGAACTCTCATGGCATGTATAACAGCTAATTACGGACGATAATCAGAAGGGTTCACATCCTTCACATCATCCATTACTACATCACATTTTCCTTTGATGAATAAACCGTCTTTCACTTAGATTTAGTCCAATCCTCGTGCTGGAAGATCCACCTCTGACTTTTGGAGTAAGTGTCACACTTTTGGAGAGAGAGTGTCTCCGGATTGGCCTTGGAGGGAAGGTCGAGGCACAGGTCGGACTGCAAGTGCCTCACCAGGTGAGTGTCCTCGTCGTAAGTCCATCTCTGCCGCTCGAACTCATTACAAGCCATGATGCGGACCTGGGGCTCCCTGGCGGAGTCGGCGTCGGGGGCGTCCACACACACGCTCTCATCTGTCATGATGTACCCTGGTGGGGGAAGACAATGAAGGGGTCAGTTTTAGCCTCTATGGCTTTGAACCTAAAAGCCTTTATGATGACCAGACCACACACTAGAATGTGAAGGGACGACGACGTTTCGGTCCGTCCTGGACCATTGTCAAGTCGATTGTCCCTTCACATTCTAGTGTGTGGTCTGGTCATCATACTTTAGCCACGTTATTGTGACTCATCGCCTAAAAGCCTTTATTAAGCAGGTTCAGTGAACTTACGGTAGGTAAGAAGGTACAATTTCCGCAGGCGATGAGTCACCATAACGTGGCTGAAATATGTTGACCAATCCACACATTAGAAAATGAAGGGACGACGACGTTTCGGTCCGTTTCTCCTTCCTCACCACAATCGACTTGAGAATGGTTCAGGACGGACCGAAACGTCGTCGTCCCTTCATTTTCTAATGTGTGGATTGGTTAACAAGGTAGAATTTAAATCATAAAATCTGTTTTCGTACTATTGGGTATAGAAGATTGAACAGGATTGAGTACCTTAGTGCAGGTGAACACTGCGTGCACAGTCAACATTGCACATGATCGTAAAGACTGATACAAAACATTCAAGTCCATGTTAATCCCAAAATTATCTTGTAATTGGGTTAAACCTTTGTAATATTTGCAGACGCAACATTGATAAAGATTTGCTGACATTTCCAAAAATAAAATGTTGTTCTACAATCTTGGAAAATGCTTGATCAAAACGGTCTGATAATCATTCATTGAAATAACGAACTTATAACATTTTCATGCGAGTACACTCAAAATTACACCTGGGCTCACGTTTTCTATCCGCCATGACACAGCAACATCTAATTATCTTATATAGAACTTCAAGAGAAAAAGAAGTACTGACCTTTCTTGGTAAAGACAAATGTTTGTAGTGGGAAGGTTTCTATGACACACTCACGAAGCACCGCAGCTCCCGTGGGCTGATTGCTGCCTCCAGACCCCACAGGCCTCTGTAGGCAACGACTCTGTTGCTCGTGACGGATCTGTCGACAATCGTAAAATCAAGTCTCTTGTCCCAATTCTATTTTACAAGATCAAGATTTATTCAAATATATATATATCTATATATATATTTACAATCATTATCAGCAGACAAGTGCTGATAATGATTGAAATCCAACAGCCAGGTTGGGTTGAGAGACCTTGCCGAAGAAGCGGTCCTTCATCGGGAAGAAGTGTTCGGGCCAGATGTTGTCCAGGTACCACTTGAAGCTACGGCAGTTGAGACGGTCCCTCAGCATCAGTCGGTCCCGAACTGTCACGTCGTCTCGCACTCGAGCAGCCTCTGAGACGGGGGATGATAGTTATTTATTATTAACATCTTTATTAACAAAATTAATTACAATTTTGCCTATTCTGAGGATTTCGATTAAGTCTTATTAAAGTGAGGATAATGCTGGTATTCACTGTCACGCAGGACAGAGGGTCATACATAAGACAATAGGTCTAAAGTGTAGGCTGAAGTACATATATATCATGGTTACAATCAATGTTTTTATGTATGGATATGTGAAAACAACTTTCTACTGTGCACTGCCACACAAGGGCAGGGATGGGGTCATAAGTGATGCAGCTTAGAAGTAATATAAATAAAATTTGTTCTTCATTCTTTAAAATGGACAAGCAAATTTTGGATGATAGTGAGACGACGAGTTGCGGAGGGAAGCAGGCAAGTATAGGTCACTTTCTTATAAGATGCCATTTTACTGAGAAACACCTGTGAGACAAGATTTATTACGGGTACGTTTCGGTCCGTCCTGGACCATTTTCAAGTCGATGGACCATTCCCATCGACTTGAGAATAGTCCAGGACGGACCAAAACGTCGTCGTCCCTTCACTTTCTAGTGTGTGGTTTGGTCAACATACTTCAGCTACGTTATTGTGACTCCTCGTCTGCTTATTACGAGTCCAAGCAACTGAGAAGTGTAAAATCATTTCTTCTAAATACATCAAGAAACTTAAAAGAAGTGGATTTTCTTCCATCTTGACAACGAGATTCAAATCAACATTAAATAAACCCCACACTAAATTAACGGAGAAGGTCAATATCATGTGAACAGAATTAATAACTCTTGGAGGGTGCTGTTGGCAAACATAAATGTAAGATTTTAGAACAAAACAGAGGTGACCATAGAGCCTAAGATATTGATAGAGGTCTTGTTGGAATCTACTTAAAGACCTTCCAAAGCGTATCTATTTATAAGCAAGAGTTTGATTTAATGGGATATGTTAAATCTGAAACTTAATCAAGTTCAATTTAGATTGCTCATGACTCCCAGAGATACAGACCATCATATCTGTCATTTAGAAGTGAGGTATAGTACTGATCAGCGGAAGGCAGGAAGGTGTGTGTGTGTGTGTGTATGTGAGAGAACACATGTACAAGTACCCGTGTGTGGAGCCCCTGCTTAACGTACCAGCGTTGATTTTAAAATAGAACTCGGCCCAGTCATCGAGCCAGACTAAGGCGACGCGGGCCAGGTTGCGGTAGAGGACCCCTCCTACGCCGCCCTCGCCAGGAAAGGTATAGGGCGAGCTCTTCCTGAAGACGTGACCGACGTGGCTGCACGGGGCGATCTCCACCGACCCTCCGCACATCCACACCTGCCACCAGAAGGAATGTTAGCACAGCTTCGTTCAAGAAATATTTTAACACATCTCTGATACAGTGAAACACTTTAATATTCAAGTTTCCATAACTACTAGTAATAAATTGAGGGAGTTTAGTAAAACTCTGAAGACTGAGCTACAGTTTATGGCATACATGGGTTTCGTGTTGGGCCTATGATTCGCATAAAATAATTTGTTTTAAATTTAAAAAACAAAAACAAAGATGCTAAACACTAGCAAAGTGCTTAGTAATCTATCGCTCTTAAGATATCTTTGGGTCTTGCTCTGACAATTCAGGGCCCTTAAAAATGTCTCGGGTTTTACCTTGAGGACATTTCAAGGCTCATACAATATGCAGGCGATGAGTAACAATAGCGTGGCTAGAGTATGTTGACCACACCACACACTAGAAGGTGAAGGGACGACGACGTTTCAGTCCGTCCTGGACCATTCTCAAGTCGACTTGAGAATGGTCCAAGACGGACCGAAACGTCGTCGTCCCTTCACCTTCTAGTGTGTGGTCTGGTCAAGGCTCATACAATACCCCTCGAGTCTTACCCTGAAGGACATCTCGAGGTTTTCTCCTCCCCACACGTCCATGTGGCGGTCGTAGGACCCCACCTGGTAGAAGTAGTCCTTGTGGATGCTGAAGAGACCTCCGGCCATCGCTGGGGTTCTGAACAGGACGGACAAAAACGTAATTATGACTGTAATGAATATTTCTGAAACTTTAAAATTAATCAGACTTTTCAGAGCATTAAAATTAAAATAAACAATTTGCTCTGACGTTTATCAGATAGGGACCAATATTTTTTTTATTCCTGACAGGAAAAGCTTGATGATATTAAAGCCTAAGTCAATGTAAATTGTGGTGTTTTTTAATTTCACAATTAAATGTATGGAAAATATCACACACAGGTAAGAATCCTGATGGGTTCATATCCTAAATTAAATCTATTGGACTAATACATGTTTGGACAATAATATGCCAGAGTCCTCGGAGATGTCTAAAACCCCAGTACCGGACTCTCTCTCTCTCTCTCTCTCTCTCCATTAATATCACAACATATATAATAATAAAACAATTGGCGTTTTTATGGACCTCATCATCTTTTACACAAAAAAATTATCCAAGCTCTTTCAAGTTACAAGTATTAATGATATGTGAACATTCAAATGTTCATTCAAAACATTCCAACCTGTATGCTTCAGTGATATCCTTCTTGCGCTCATCGAGCTCCTTCTGGCCCAGAGTATACCATCGGAAGTGAAGGTTCCAGTTGAAGGCGCCCCAGTGGAGCTCGAAGGACCGCACGTACTGGAAGGTGTCCTCGTGGATGATGTCGATGATGGGACACACGACCCTGGTCCGGTCCTCCGCGATCCTCGACAGTAGCGGCTCCAACCATCCTGGCAGAAACAGAGCACAGAGTCAAGATCAAAGGCCATGGTATCAGCGGGTCTAATCATCCTGGGAGAAACAGAGCACAGAGTCAAGATCAAAGGCCATGGTATCAGCGGGTCTAATCATCCTGGGAGAAACAGAGCACAGAGTTAAGATCAAAGGCCATGGTATCAGCGGGTCTAATCATCCTGGGAGAAACAGAGCACAGAGTCAAGATCAAAGGCCATGGTATCAGCGGGTCTAATCATCCTGGGAGAAACAGAGCACAGAGTCAAGATCAAAGGCCATGGTATCAGCGGGTCTAATCATCCTGGGAGAAACAATACACAGAGTCAAGATCAAAGTAATCACACGCTGTTTAGTTTGCATAAATCTGACAGTGACTTACGGTGCAAAATCAATTGAATATAGAATGAACAGTCTCATAAATTTAACAGAGGAAATATCCGAGATCCCGGAAAGAATATTACACGGGTTCTATATAAACCACAGTTAGCTTGTTAAAAATTGAAACCAAACAAGAGTTGTATACAAAAGCTTGGTGCAAGCGAGAGGCATATTATGATTAATCCGGATTAACCTCAAATCCCTCAGTAATGGAACAGAATATGTTTGGTGAGACACACGCCCTGTCTCCCCCCAGAGCTCCCTGGCAACACGCTCCCCACCCTCCCTTCCCCCAACACAAGCAATAGACCTTTATTGAACCAACAATATTTCTAAGCTTGTATATGTTAATGTCCAACCATTTGGACTGCTCTGAACGCTGACGTCCTCACTCTTGCAGGGGGTTCGAGTCTGGCCCGAGGCAGGACTCGGGGGAGTAGAAGAACTATCGAAATCTTCTGCAGGTATGTTCAAGGTATCCAGGTCGGTGTTCCATCTCAGATTGTCTAAGTGGTTATATTCCAGCTCCCTGTCTTCATGTCCCTTATAGGTATAATATTACTGCAGTACCTTACAGCTGTCTCCTGGTAACCTTACATTCAATGTCACCTTGAGAGATCACCTATTTCCCATATTTTTTATTTATCAAGTCTCTATTAAGCCAAAAAGCATTCAAAACTATCCCCTAATATTTTATAACAAATTTAAATACTCATTAACGTTTCAGACTTTATCAAATGACATTTTCTGAAGATTTTCTTCCAGTGAGGCAGCACAAGAACGTATAATATGTTTAACCCGATATTTCTGATAACATTTAGAGTAGATTAAAAGAGTGATTTATTAGAAGTGGCGAGATGTTGTTGTTGTTAAGAGGGGACGTGTGTTTAGGTGAGGCTGAGGGCAGTGTTGGGGAATTAAATGGAGCAATGAGGAAGATTGTGAACAATGAGGGGATAGTTAGCAATGGGCACTGGAGGGAGAGTTTGTGGGCAGTGAGTTCATTTACAAGTGAACGCGTGTCTGTGCTACAAGGTAAAGACAATAATCAACACGAGGCAGAAGAGAAACAAAGACATCTCATCCACCACGGATGAGTATGGACTCCTTGTACCGTGCAAGACGTGACCAGAGTGCCCAGGTGTGACTGGACATGTCTCGCGTTACCTGTCGTGGCCAAGACGTGACCAGAGTACCCAGGTGTGACTGGACAGTGCCTCGCGTTACCTGTCGTGGCCTCACAGTGGGCATCAAGGAAGGTGAGGACGGCGCCCCTGGCCTCTTGAGCCCCCAACAGCCGCGCACGGATCAGCCCCGTCCTCACAGATGACCGGATGACACGCACAGACACTGGAAGCTTGGCCACGTACTCATCCAGCGGCTCCTGTGGAGTGAGAGGTGAACAAATAAGAGAGGGGACAAGGCTACAGCATGGATGAACAATATGAACCTGAGTAAGGAAGAGAGGAGAGGAGATTCTCAGTGTTTACAACCATGTCATACAAGGAGGAGCTACAGACATATGGTCAGCCATAGGCACGTCCTTCCAGTGTTCACTACACCATGGCTCGTATTCCTAAAGCTGTCAATGTCTAGTCAAACGCAAGAGAGACGAGAAAGTATTTATGGCCGCGCCAACAGAGGCCAGAACACTATTCCTTCTTTCCGGAACCTTATTCCGGCCTCTGACAGTAATATCAAGGTCTGTGAGGCACCAGAAATTACATAATTCAAGTGGGGCTAAATTCATCACAGAAAATAGTCTGATTGGTGACTTCGGTGGAGAAGTATGTTAGTTATAAGTTGGATTTAAAGACAGAAAATAAGTGAAAGGGATTCGTGGATGTCACTTGAACACCCACGAGTTCTTCTTCATAAATATAAGTGACCTGATTCCTTCTTAAGAATAATACCTTAGTTGATTAGTGTGTGTCAATGTATGAATTAATAATCAGTGGTATTCAATATATTAAAAAAAAAAAAAAATCAAGCCCGATAGTTTCGTTTAATTTCCCTTGGCTCTCAGGGAAATACATGGCTGATTAATTAGTACATCCGTTAATATGGATATTTGATAAAAACACCAATACATAATCTCTCCGTTCCCTGAACTTTTAATTATAATACAAAAGCTGATCAAAGTGAGATGGAAACAGGGTTATTATCTCCGTGGTCAGATGCAGCTTAATAAGCGGCATCGGTAAGTGGTGTTTCAAGCTAAGGGTCGGTGAAGGGTATCACAGTGAAGGTAAAGGGATAAGAGGGAAGGTGAGAGGGCTCTAAGGGGAGATGAAAGAATCAGAGGGGAGATAAATCAAAAGATGCTGAAGCGAGAGAATAACAGCAAAAAAAGCAACATCCACTCAACAAGAATAAACTAAAAACAACATTCAAACGGCATCATTTCACTGTAGACAGCTGCATCTACCAACAAACACACAACATAAACAGAACGTTATTTGTATTATGTTACATATTGTTACAACGTTATAGAAAGGTAATCACGTTAAAATACGTTGCGTGTTGGCTGGGAAGACCTAGCCAACACTGAGATGGCCTAGCCAATACTGGGAAGGCCTAGCCAATACTGGGAAGGCCTAGCCAATACTGGGAAGGCCTAGCCAATACTGGGAAGGCCTAGCCAATACTGGGAAGGCCTAGCCAACACTGAGATGGCCTAGCCAATACTGGGAAGGCCTAGCCAACACTGAGATGGCCTAGCCAATACTGGGAAGGCCTAGCCAATAAGGAGACCCGATGACCATCAGGGATCACTGCTAAAAAAACACACACACCACCATCAATATACATCAATAGATACATTAAGCATTGTTTTAATAATAAATACATCGTGCTATTGAGATTTCACTGTGTATTTGTTTTAATATAGGAAACAAATAACTGTTTGAGCGCTACAGTGATGACAAACACAGTGATGTGATCTATTAAAGTGTTCAATACAAGGCAACAGGAGCAGAAAATGGTTTAATTCAGTAACATTTGAGAATGATTATATTTACCTCAAAAATCATATAAAGTATTGGGCAATCACAGTGTTTCCTATGGGTCCCATCCCATCTTGGTCTCAGAATGCATGATAGAACCGATGACTTTGACAAAGAATACTCTCCAAACGAGGGAGTGGAAAAACCACTTTGATTCACCTATTACCTATTCCCTATTATTACCCTATTACCTATGATTCACCTATTAGCAACCCGTGAGCACCTCTAGCTATTCCACCTATCAATATGCTATTATGTAGGAAGAACCACATATTTATGGCCAATGCAATAAATCTAGTAGACCTATAGACATTAATACTGGTAAACTTAGGCTCGGCTCTAAGTATATCAATGAGTTTACATCACCTGCTGTGGTAGATCAGATCAATTGTAAACCGTGTCAGCATATCTATTCATATACCTAACAGCCATGTACAATCATTGAACGTGAAAAAAATAGAGTTTACTGCCAATTATCACCAACGTACAATGAATATCTCTGAATTATTCGATATGAAAATACCCAAAATTGTGACTAGATACCCAAATTTTGTCTAATGCTGACCAGACATTTACTACTGACATTTACAGACATTTGATACTATCAACATACTATTATGTAGGAAGAACCACATATTTATGGGCAACACAATAAATCTAGTAGACCTATAGACATTAGTACCGGTAAACGTAGGCTCGGTTCTAAGTATATCAGGGAGTTTATATCACCTGCTGTGGTAGAATGTCTAATTTGTCTTAGTCTTAGAATTTGTCTAATACAAATAGTGCACACATTGTCTGCCTGCAAGTCTCTCTCCTGCTCAGCTCGTGACTAAGCATTGTAACGTTAGATGTAATAATATAATTAAATCACCTCCCTTACAACCTTATCTCACATGTGGGGCAACAAGTCCCGTAACTAGTGGGCCACATGTAAACTGCTGAGTATACATAATATTGAGGTTCAGTTCTTGAAATCATTTTGTGAGCATGTAACCTCTATGTCATATGTACATTAAGAGACTATTCACAATTTAATTTGTGTGTTAACTATGTAACTAGTTCCTCAATGCTGTAACTTGCTTAGCTAAAGGAATATTGGGTTAGTTTCCTGAGCCCATTATTTACCTCTGTAACCTTATACGTTGTCACTCACAGGATGGGTATGGTGCCCGCTACCACTCACAGGATGGGTATGGGGCCCATTACCACGCACAGGATGGATATGGGGCCCACTACCACTCATAGGATGGGATGGGGCTCACTAGTACTCACAGGATGGGTATGGGGCCCACTACCACTCACAGGTTGGGTATGGGGCCCACTACCACTCACAGGATGGATATAGGGATGAATAATAAATGAACTAAACACCCTGAATATCAGTTTGCTTGGTTAAGAGTGGGAGCGGACATGATAACCACGTTACTGTTCACTCTAGCAATAAAGAGCGCTGATTAAAAATAATAGTGAGTGCACCTTCTGCACTCTGGTGAGAGACGTGGAGCCCACGGTTACAGCACTTCCACCAGTTCATTGATCATTGCGGGAGAGTGGCAGTGTGTCTGCCGGGAGATGTGTAGCCCTGAGCTCAGTTCCTTGCATCATTGTGATTTCCCCCGAGGTTATACACGGATGGACCGAAGTCACAGTGGACCCGTCGACTATGTACATGAATTCCTACTACTCGTGATCCAAGGCGTGTGTGTGTGTGTGTGTGTGTGTGTGTGTGTGTGTGTGTGTGTGTGTGTGTGTGTGTGTGTGTGTGTGTGTGTTGTACTCACCTAATTGTGCTTGCGGGGGGTTGATCTTTGGCTCTCTGGTCCCGCCAAATTTTTGGTTTCAGATTCTTGAAGCTACTGTGTAGGTGTGTGTGTGTGTGTGGGTGTGGGTGTGGGTGTGTGTGTGGGTGTGTGTGTGTGTGTGTGTGTGTGTGTGTGTGTGTGTGTGGGTGTGGGTGTGTGTGTGTGTGTGTGTGTGTGTGTGTGTGTGTGTGTGTGTGGTGTGTGTGTGTGTGTGTGTGTGTGTGTGTGTGTGTGGTGTGTGTGTGTGTGTGTGTGTGTGTGTGTGTGTGTGTGTGTGTGTGTGTGTGTGTGGGTGTGTGTGTGTGTGTGTGGTGTGTGTGTGTGTGTGTGTGTGTGTGTGTGTGTGTGTGTGTGTGGGTGTGGGTGTGGGTGTGTGTGTGGGTGTGTGTGTGTGTGTGTGTTATTCAGAAAAATGTTAAACTAGACATGACTGCCTGGTCCCCCCCCCCCCTCGCGTACTGTTATTGTTGGGATTTCTGATATTTTATGAAACAAGTTTTGAACACAATGATCCGAAACTTGCAATCGGATGTTTTGAAAATACAAAAGTTGTATCTCGCTTTGTCGTGAGATGAAAACACCGCAGGGGCTTAGCCTCGCTGCCACACGATGAGCAGTTTGTTCTATAATGGTTTTGTGCCTTACTTTTAGTATTCAAGCTGAGCTACCAACACCATCTCTCTACTCCTCCTCCCCCATCTCCTTCCATTCCCTCTATCTCTCACTAACTCCTCCAGTGTGTGTGTGTGTGTGTTCTCTCTGACACACTATCTCTGTTTCTCCCAACCACTTGGGCTGGACGGTAGAGCGACTGTCTCGCTTCCTGCAGGTCGACGTTCAATCCCCGACAATCCAAGTGGTCCCAGGTCATCTACATTCAGGTCGTCCACCTCTAGGTAGTTTTTCCATTTGTTTAAATCAACACGCTCCCATGTAAACTACCTTGCGAGACTCCTCCTGTCCTCAGGCAAGTCTTATAACCACTTTTGTTGGTATTAAACAGCAGCAGCTGACTTTCCTTACACGTGTTGTAGTGTAAGACTTCAAACATTCTTAGCTCATCTTACCTTCCCTTCTCCCACCATCTCGTCTCTCCTTCCTAACACACCACTCCGCAAGTGTTAGGCAACTAAGGACCCATAACATGTATTAAGGCATATGATAAAATGAATAAATATTTAAATTTTCTGGGTACAGGCAGAATCAGAAGAAAATTTCAATGTAAACACACACACACACACACACACACACACACACACACACACACACACACACACACACACACACACACACACACACACACACACACACAGGTGCCCCTAACAACCTTGAGAAAGGTCCTCTGTGAGGCGTCGTCGACCAGAAGGATCTCCTCCAGAAGACTGGGAGGAGAGCGAGTGATGACGGAGTGAACTGTCCTCAGCAGGGTGGACCAAGCCTCGTTGTGGAAGACGATAATGACTGAGGTCGAAGGGAGACGCTCCACCCGGTACGCCCTCTCGTGGCACCTGCAGAGGGAGAGGGGCACCTGCTTCAGTAGAGGAACATTCCCTTTTGTCCATAGTTCGGTGACGACGATCTGGCTCTATTGGTACAGGGGAAATGGGTCAGTAAGGTTGGAAGGATCTGTCTAATGTCTAACAGAATGGCCATGATGGCTCGCTCGCACACCGGATCCCGAAATGCAACTCTCTGGGAAGAACCAGGTGAAGGATCTAGTCTGGTTTCATGTAGAGGATGTGGCTTAGTGCAGAGGGAGTATGCAGGCGATGAGTCACAATAATGTGGCTAAAGTAATTTGACCAGACCACACACTAGAAGGTGAAGGGACGACGACGTTTCGGTCCGTCCTGGACCATTCTCAAGTCGATTGTCGACTTGAGAATGGTCCAGGACGGACCGAAACGTCGTCGTCCCTTCACCTTCAGACGGCGTAATAGAGCAAACCCCCTAAATCCTAAATCATTGTTTTATCCTGATGGTAAGGGCAAAAACTGAGGCTATGTAGTCACATGTGGAAATTAAACTGTATGTTTACTTTAGGAGAGTCCATCCCAGACAACCCTCGATCGTAGCAAAGGTCACTGCTAGGCACCTCCAGACGTTGGTGGAGCCTTATGCCTCATACAGTGTATCAGGGTAATAATACTCTTCTCTACTCACTAACAGTACACACTGAGTTCACTACCAGGAACAAATCCACAAGGGCCGTGACGAGGATTCGAACCTGCGTCCGAGAGCATCCCAGACGCTGCCTTAATCGACTGAGCTACGACATGGTCAAATGTCGTAGCTCAGTACCATGTCGACAAATACCATGTCGACCAATACCATGTCGACATGGTATTTGTTCATTTGATGCATTACGCAATTGTGATTTCTGTGTGTAATGAAATTCACTACCAGGTTCTGGCTCGTGTGTATTGGTTCCTAATATTCACTCCCACTACAAAACTACACTACAAAATTAAATCTTAATTACTAATTAGAAATATTCCACTCAGAATGCTGGATGTTTGAGTAGGGTCAAAGTCGTTAGAAATATATGCATTCCCCCCCCCCCCCTACTTTGACTTCTCTACTCTTTAAAGAAAACTAAACTAACCTAATCCAACCAAACCTAACCCAAACTGTCCTGGCCTAACCTAACCCTAATCTAACCATAACCTAACTTAGCTCAACCTAACCTAATGAAAACAAGAGATACAATTTTGTATTTAATATATGGAATGGATAAGATATGTGATGTCACTACAGCGACAGGTTTTAGATCCTACTGGTGTGCTAGTGAGGTACTCTATGAGGTCAATAATCATCACCCAGATGTCACCCTCATGTGTGTGAGTCGTAGTGACCCTCACTCATGCAGCAGGTTAAGTCTACAAGTATCACAACAATCCTAATCTATATCAATACAATATTCTCGCGTATTGTATTGATCTCATGTATTCTCTTTCCCAACTTCATTTCGGCTCATCAGTAACCATCAGAGGTGTCACATGTTTCTGGTAGCTGCTTTTAAATAAATTTATCACAAAAAATAACTTAAAAAGCCAATATTGACTAATTGGCTCGTGTACTAAACACTCACTTAAAACAGTGTATTTTACCCATAATATTACTAAATATTTATACCCGAAATTTCAGCGAAGCATTACTGTAATGACATAATATTGGGTATAACGAGAGGTATGTGAATTATAAGCATAACAACATATCAATTCATGCAATAACCAACACTGAAAAAAAGACTGAAAGGCTGAAAATACTTTTTTATGTCAAACTGACACAATGTCAATACAAAACATACATGATAAGTATAGGTTCTTCAGACAACACGCAAACATAAGAATTACTACTTTCAGACTCGTCCCTTATCATATAAGCAGCAGAAATATATTCAAAAACTCACACCATAAATTAATACGCACTAAGAATCAAGAATCTCTTGCCTCAATATTTTTACGATCTCTCTCTTAAAGGCTAAGTAGTGGTTGGGCACAATTCCTTTCATCTCAGAATGTTCGGTAATATGTTTATTGTTTGTGATGTGTGTCTGTGTATGTATTAACACGTTGTACTGAACGGGGTGAGAATAGCTTGAGCTACCTCATCCCTTTGTGTGTATTTTACCTCAATAAACTTATTTCAATTTCAATTCCTTTCGTCTGTCTTACCCCAAATCCTTATCCTCATATCCCTTGTAAATGCTAAATACTCGTGATAGTCGTAATGACGTAGCGCTCTCTCCTGATCTCATCTTTCCTTAAAAACTCACAAATAAAAGCATTCCTAATAAAATAAATCCTTATAAAATAATTATTTGAACCCAAGTATTAATTTGCGGAAGCTAATTCCTTTGGGGTGGTGGTGATGACGTCAGGGGTTAAAAAGTCCTGGCTGCCCGATATGCTCCAAGGGATATATACACCGAGAGGTATACCTTACCTCTCGCTGTATATACACGGATTGTTTACATTAGTCATCCCCTGGGACTGGTCGGTACAGCAAAGGATTTGTATTTGGCAGCGTCGGTGTTCGATCCCCCGATGGTCGAAGTGGTTGAGTATCCTACCTTTATCCCGTCCTCGCTCACCTTTAAAGTGCTGTATTGTCCTGTATGTTGACCAATCCACAAACTTCTAGTTTGTGGATTGGTCAACATACTTCAGCCACGTTATTGTGACTCTTCGTCTGCAAGAACAATAACTGGATGTTCCCATCGTTACGGATCAAGAAAGATCTCCCCTAGACTGGTACATACGGAGAGTGCAGGAATACAAAGAGTGCAACGATCACACAGTGCTGTAATGAGTACAGGTATCAGTTTCCTTTGATTACATTCCTCTATGCGCCTTCCTCACGTAACAAATCCATCGCCAACAAATTACGCAATAACCGAATCCGAATATATATATACAGGATAAGACACCCCGAAGGGCGAGCTTGGAAGTGGGTACAGAAGAAGATAAAGAGGGTGAGAGAAAGTAGATTTGTAGGAGAAACAGTGCCAGGGGCTAAACCCAGCTGCGTGCCGTTTGGTTGCGGCATGCGAGGCAAGTACTCCGTCGGGTGCTGACAACCAAAAAATGAGAATAAATTTGGGATATTTTTTCAACAACAGTAAGTTAAAGGTCCTCTGATAGGTTAGGTGGGCAGGAAATTCTCATAAAGTTTCAAAACGGTATGAAAAACGTTAAAGAAAAGTTTCCTCTTCTAAGCTTGCCGAGTAAGCCGGACGACTCAAACAGAAAACGGAACAGTACGTCACTTTTGTGAGTCGATTTCATTTCAAATTACGTCAAAATTTGGCCATAGCGGCGCATACGAGCCAGAAGTGACATTATTTTTAAGAGGGCGGGTTGTCTCAGTGATCAACAACAGGGACATCACAAAACTGACAACATCGACTCGTGACACTTACTTCTTCTTGCGGACGTCCGGGAGGGTCCGGTTAAGAGGGACGCGGTCAGAAGCCAGCAGGTTGAACTTGTTGATGTGGTAAAGCTGTTGCATCCGGGCCCCCTCCCAGCTGGGGATGTGAACGGGGTTACCGTTCTCCCCCGCCGTGGGCTGGGGCGAGTACCCGTTGGTGTTCAGGAGCTCTTGAAACGGTGGAGGATAACAGAGATATTATGGTCCGTTTGACGGAAACCAATGAGGTGATGTATTATACACAGACAAAACATGTTTTATTCATGAATATTTGCATTTATAAACGTTGTTTTTGGCTACATTAGCCTAATTTAGGTACTACATCTACATTATACATGACAATTATCTTGCAGTAGATTAACCTCGTTCACAGCGCACGTAGGTTACAGAGAAAGTCGATGGGGGTGACGTGGGGTGAGGGAGAAGACGTTAGGGTTCAGGGGGTGAGCAGCTATATCAGGAAAGAGGGGATGCCTCGGGGGAGGGGATTCTTAGATCGACTGGTATAGTCTATATAAGAATCGACTTATACCAGTCGATTCTTAGTATAAGAATCGACTGGTATAAGTCGATTCTTATTGTTCATACCTACTTCGTTAATAAGGAAGAAGGCATGAATAAGAGTATATGGTAAATAGAATGAGGAGTGAGAAAATTAGAGAAAGGAGCAGGGATAGTGAGAGCAGGTAAAAAACGAGTAATCCTTAATGCCGATGAGAAAATTATAACATTTTTTAAGTTAAAAAACATGTAATGAAATGAGGAACTCACATAAAGCCTATTATCTTGCGACACATTCACAAAGACTCCCCCGGGCTCCAGAAACTCACAGAAAACATTGCATTCATATATGTTCCACACAAAACACACACACACACACACACACACACACACACACACACACACACACACACACACACACACACACACACACACACACACACACAAACATAGGTGTCACTCTTACAGACAGGTGTCAGAGTGACAGTGAGGGGCGAGGAGTCGGACTGTCATAGAATAACAAGCGGGGTGCCTCAAGGAGCTGTGCTGGGACCCATTCTATTCCTCATTTGTATAAATGACTTGACTGCAGCACACACACACACACACACACACACACACACACACACACACACACACACACACACACACACACACACACAGTGTGAGAGGTATGAGCTACGAGGAGAGACTACGGGAATTAAACCTCACTTCGCTGGAAGACAGAAGAGTTAGGGGGGACATGATCACCACATTCAAGATTCTGAAGGGGATTGATAGGGTAGATAAAGACAGTCTATTTAACACAAGGGGAACACGCACATGGGGACACAGGTGGAAACTGAGTGCCCAAATGAGCCACAGAGATATTAGAAAGAACTTTTTTAGTGTCAGAGTGGTTGACAAATGGAATGCATTAGGGGGTGATGTGGTGGAGGCTCACTCCATACACAGTTTCAAGTGTAGATATGACAGAGCCCGATAGGCTCAGGAATCTGTACACCTGTTGATTGACGGTTGAGAGGCGGGACCAAAGAGCCAGAGCTCAACCCCCGCAAACACAACTAGGTGAGTACAACTAGGTGAGTACACACACACACACACACACACACACACACACATACACACACACACACACACACACACACACACACACACACACACACACACACACACACACACACCATAAAAAATACAGCTCACCAAAATTTCCAGAGAGAACCTGGAAACCCCACAAGAGGTGCAGGGAGGTCCATAATAAACTCACCTTCAGTAAGGTTAGGAGAGGTCTTGCCCGGGATGTTGTCCCCCATGTAGTGACCCACCACCACGTGGATCCCTCGCTTGTCAATATACTCCTCCTGGTTGTGGTGGCGCGACCTGCAGGGATACGAACTCTCAGTGTCTCAGTGACAACTTGTGACACTTCGCTAGCCAATGACCTACAGGCTTCTACCTCAGCAGCCCGTCCTCATCAATAAAGGCCAAATGCTCGGTAATCCAGCCAGCTAAACCCCTATTTTATGAATGAAAGGCGGTTTGCACACGATTCCAACCCGTCTTCAGTCCAGGCTCGTTAAAGATGCGGTCATCCCCTAAGATGCATTGACAAATTCAAACGTATTGTGTAAGAAAATACGACACGCGTTCGAGGACTTACTTGAGAGGGATCATGACGTCCGGGTTGTCGTCGAAGGAGATCCTGGGGTCCTTGATGACGAAGACGAGGACGAAGAGGACCAGCACAGCCACGCCCACGCTCGCCCACCGCCCACGTCGCCGACACCACAACATCCTGACCAGAAGGATAGCGTCATGGCTCCCACTACACAAGATGAGGAGGGGGTACAAATAGCCTAAGCTACTCTATCCCTTTGAGATGTATTTCTTTCTAGTCTCAATAAACATACTTGAACTACTCAAGATATCATATTATATCAACACTCACGCCCCCACGTGATCCATTCTTCACGTTGGGTCGTGAGGGGTCTAATTACTAATCCAACAATTAGACTCCTCTAACAGGAGCTTTGCGTTACTTTACTCAAGCGAGTGTTCTTGAGGATATCCTCATAATTCACCAACAATTTGCCAATGCAAGACATTGATGACATGCGCTCGTACGACTAACCATCCTGGGAGATGAGGCTTTTAGTATCAGCTAATTCAACACAAGCTAACCAACCCTTCAAGTAACTAGCAAGCTACGATGCGGAAGTCCACAAGTATGTTCATAAAAAAATGAAATAAGGAATGGTTAGCGAATTTGTGAGGTGGAGCGGAAAGTTAGAGAGTGCTTGCCGGTGTAGCGAGGAAGGCGATGCCACTGGGAGAAGAATGGCAGCCTTCTAGATACATATTAGAGTCTTCAAGGAATGCCTCTCATTTCCATCTCTTTGGCATCCATACATGGTAATGAAGAAGAGTGCGTCTCATGTCGACTAAGAATAATCAAAATTTTAATAGCAAAATTTGTCTGTTAAATAATGTTCATAACTCACCTAGTATAAAGTAGTCGCTTAAACTCTCTAATCAAGACAACTTGTGCAGGCGATGAGTCACAATAACGTGGCTAAAGTATGTTGACCAAACCATACACACTAGAAAGTGAAGGGGCGACGACGTTTCGGTCCGTCCTGGACCATTCTCACAATCGACTTGAGAATGGTCCAGGACGGATCGAAACGTCGTCGTCCCTTCACCTTCTAGTGTGTGGTCTGGTCATTAGACAACATGTCATTGATTTATTTGTAAAGAGTGGGATTGTTGTTCTTAATGAGATGAAACTATTGACTCTAGTGAGTGTGTCGTTGGCTGACATCGGGCTCCCACTGCCTCTAGGAAGGTATACAAGTTTTAAATAGAGATCTCCTTCGACTCCAATAGTTCTCTATGTTTAAATTGCACTCGAAAGACGCACTGAGTACTATTAAAAGCCGCATGCGGCACCGGTTCGATCCCCCATCGCTGTTCTAGTTTAACAATGCTAACGGAAAATGAGTTTTGTCGAATCATCTTGTATACAATTTAACCATTCCTTTTAGTATACTTTCTCAGTAAACCACATCCTTTTTCCCTCCCTCCCACAGAAGGAACCACGATCCCACACTTACCAAACTTACTTACAATTGTGAAGTAATCACTCTCTCGTCGTAAGGATTTTTTTTTACGCCTGCAAGAATACGCATTTGAAACACGTTTGGAGAACACAGGTGTATCATCAAATCTTTCCACGTTCGTGCTCCTCTCTCTCTCACACTTACCATACTATATAATGTCATCTCTCTCACGCTTGTCTAACACTCCGCCCATTGCGTTCCTTGGTTCAATTCCCAGGTGTTCCCACACGCCTGTGCCTCCGGGTTCCATCATGCATTGAATATGTACGTCTCGCTGGGCTGCCTTCACACACTTTATTCTCATTTGAATGTGAAGATCACCGGAAAATTTATAACTTGCGGTGTGACCGAAGACCTCATTAGTGGGGCCCAGTCAGGGTCTTGAAACCCGTTCTGATAGTCCCATAAGGTGGCCCCTTATGGCACCATAAAGTGGGCCCCTTATGGCACCATAAGGTGGCCCCTTATGGCACCACTAAGATGTCTTAGTGGGCTAGAGGAGGACGACCTACAGCACAAAGAGCTATCACACTAGTGGAGTGTGATGATAGAGTGGCGGTGTGGCTCCATGGTGGAGTAATGGAGCCATGGTGTGGCTCGATGGTAGAGTGGTGCTGGAGCTCCATGTTTATGAGTGTGATTGGGGTGGTTATAAATAGGAGCTGCCTCGTATGGGCCAATAGGCCTTCTGCAGTTACCTTTGTTCTTATGTTCTCCATGGTGGACCGGTGGTGCTCCTTGTAGCATATTGTACTTTAGCAAATGCCTCACTATGCCCTAGTCTGGTGCACATGAGCACACACCGAACAGGAGAACATTGATGTGGAAACACAAATGAGGCATGAGCCAAAGCCCTGGAGACCTATACCCCAAAATCCTCCTCCATAAACACTGATAAGGGGGTAAGCCATTTGTTATTAATCAGTTTCCTGCTATCCTTCAGTGTCTCTTTCCGCTCTTCTTTAGTTCCTTCAGACCCCAGCGTCAATCTCCATCTCTCTCTCTCTCTCTCTCTCTCTCTCTCTCTCTCTCTCTCTCTCTCTCTCTCTCTCTCTCTCTCTCTCTCTCTCTCTCTCTCTCTCACCTTTACCTCCTCTCCTATGGACAGGGGGTCAGCGAGCGTCATTATACTGAATAAATCAGAGCGAGGCTGTTGTCCTTGCGGCTTCCCTGACCAAGTTCTCTTTGAAGGGCATTTTTCTTGCCTACAGGAAAGTGTACCGACACACACACGAATACTGAATACTTTCAGTATACATACGGTGTATACTGAAAGTTTACTTCAGTTGTAGACTAACTTAAGGGCTAAAGTACACTTTGTTAGTTGGTGGGTAAGTTGATTGTGGTCTAAATCTCTCTCTCCACAAAACCAAATAGATTAAGGAAAAAACACTTTGCTTCCCACTCTCCAGCCTAGGTAAATTAAAATTTTAATTTTTAATTTAAATGCAATAAACAGATGATTATAATAGCAATTATAAATGTAAATTTAACAATGAGTTATTTGCATTGCAAATTAAATGTTTATTTTTTTCCAAATCCGTACCCACTGCTCAGCAACTTCACAAGCCTAGCCATACCAGGAGCCTAGCTATACCAGGAGCCTAGCTATACCAGGAGCCTAGCTATACCAGGAGCCTAGCTATACCAGGAGCCTAGCTATACCAGGAGCCTAGCTATACCAGGAGCCTAGCTATACCAGGAGCCTAGCTATACCAGGAGCCTAGCCATACCAGGAGCCTAGCCATACCAGGAGCCTAGGAACCTAGCTATAGCCTACCAGGAGCCTAGCTATACCAGGAGCCTAGCTATACCAGGAGCCTAGCCATACCAGGAGCCTAGCCATACCAGGAGCCTCACCATACCAGGAACCTAGCCATACCAGGAGCCTAGCTATACCAGGAGCCTAGCTATACCAGGAGCCTAGCCATACCAGGAGCCTAGCTATACCAGGAGCCTAGCCATACCAGGAGCCTAGCTATACCAGGAGCCTAATCATACTAGGAGCCTAATCATACTAGAACCCTATACCAGGAGCCTAGCTATACCAGGAGCCTAATCATACTAGGAGCCTAATCATACTAGGAACCTAGCTATACCAGGAGCCTAGCTATACCAGGAGCCTAATCATACTAGGAGCCTAATCATACTAGGAACCTAGCTATACCAGGAGCCTAGCTATACCAGGAGCCTAATCATACTAGGAGCCTAATCATACTAGGAGCCTAATCATACTAGGAGCCTAATCATACTAGAAACCTAGCTATACCAGGAGCCTAACCATCCCAGGAGCCTAGCCATACCAGGAACCTAACCATCCCAGCAATCTAAACATGCCCATCAGTTTATCCACTCCCAGCAGCCTAGCCATAATACAGGTTACCTATCCCTAAACTAGCTATTTCCTGAGGACTTGCTGTGGTGGACTTGCCAATCCGGTGATCACTCCTGGCTAGGGTGCCACTCCCACACATGTCAACAAACAGCTCTGGCAAGGGACGGTGCCCCTTGCTCTCCCTGGCACTAATATCACATTGCTCTCACACAAGCTAATTTTACACTCCCACTGACGGTTATGACATCTAAGGACGCCCAGGCAGGTGCTGTATGCTCAGGGAGCCTTTTTTTTTTAAAGACAACTCTTAAGAAAACAAGAAAATGTATTTGGTGTTAATGGTCGTTAACTGGTGGATACGAACCCAGTTCAACATCAGAATGGTTTAAGTTGAGTCGAGCCTAACCCCAATGGTAATGTTTTTTTAAAACGCGTTTACGGAAGAATCCGGAGAACTTCAACAGGGTTATGTTACCAGCGTTCAGCTCCGGCCGCAGTATATGAGGTTTTGAAAAAAAAAGAGAGCTCATAGGGTGTGCGTTCTCCCAGGGTGTGCGTTCTCCCACGCTCTGCCGACCATGAACGATCCCACCAGCACCCCCTCCCCTCCCCCCCCCCCTTCACCCTCTCTACTACCTCGGTCATACAGTTAACTAATTCACAACTCTACTTGTTAACTAATTTACAGCTCTACCCGTTAACTAATTCACAGCTCTACTCGTTAACTAATTCACAACTCTACTGGTCAATAATTTTTGTCCAGAATTCATTTTAACCTAAATTTATCCCAAATGAATACCCAGTATTCCCATTCCCATGAATGGGAATACTGGTATTCCCATGAGTATTCCCAAATGAATACATTCTTAAAAGTCAACTCGTATTTTTCACTTGCTGCGTAGGCCTATATCCCCTTCTTTCATTTGTGAATTTCATTCATGTTTTCATTCGTCACATTAATCCTCTTGACTCAGTGTAACTTCAGCGCTCTTCATTTGGCAACGTAAGTCAATTACTTTAATTGACTTACGATGTAAGTTGACTTACAATTAGTAAGCGAGATTAGTTTAAGAGTTGGAGCTCCCTTGAGTGAGTAACGCCTCAGTGACGTCCATTTACGTTGACCAGACCACACACTAGAAGGTGAAGGGACGACGACGTTTCGGTCCGTCCTGGACCATTCTTAAGTCGATCGACTTGAGAATGGTCCAGGAAGGACCGAAACGTCGTCGTCCCTTCACCTTCTAGTGTGTGGTCTGGTTAACATACTTTAGCCACGTTATTGTGACTCATCGCCTGCAAGTCCATTTACGTTACATAACGCAGCAAGCAAACCTAACA